TAGAGAATTGATCGGCGAACTATAGCTGAGGAAGTAATTTATCGACACAGTAGAAAATTTTAAAGTAAGAAGAATGAGATTTTTTCGATTTTGTTGTCACGAAACAGCTTTGCAACAAGATAACGTAATGTATGATTTATAAGTCAGTTCCTTGAACCACGTATCAAGCAACGATATCACCACTGTCATGAATACTTTACTCAACTAGCAAACTATACAAAGACTTAGACGCCTCATATTTTACGTTAAACACTTAGTTTAAGAATTAACTTTATTACCCGATTTACTGCAATTATACACTCTTCCTCAAGAGTTTATGAATCTTAGTTTGTACGATTAACTTTGGAATAATTCACTGAATTAGATATTAATTTTAGCTACTGCTCCCTAATACAGACAACAGTATTTACGAATAAAGACATCTGATGACTAACTATTAATTTCATTTTATGTTTATAACATTATTACATTAATATTTGCATACTAACAGATCCAATTTGTAGTGGTAAGTATATTTTATACGTATAAAATAGTTTACTACTACATCACCCAGACAGACTGTCAGAATTGTTGCTGAAACTACAAATTCAATTGGTTGTATCCCTGTTACGATGAAATTTTCTAAATTTCATCATTCATTAGATTTTACACTTTTTATTTCGTCAAAATTCATCCAAAATTTGGTTAGTAAAAGTCATTTTTAATTTCCTATAGCATTTCGCATTGCATTAGTATATAACTTACTTGAGCCTGTGTTGAAATAGCAGTTTTTAAATATTTTAAAGTTTTAAAAACTTTGGCATATTATTCTGATCTTTAGCTCCTAATAGCAAGGTTAAGCTGATTTGGATGGAAATAAGTCGGAATTTACTAAGTTATATTAATAAATAATACATATTTCTCTTATGGATGTACTGTTTGTTGAATTAAATATTCACTCCACGTCCTATTAATTCAGTCAGAGTTTAAGAAATTATTTTACTAACCACAAGCACAACATTACTTACAGTTAAAGTAGAGAAATAAATTGCTTTGCTAGAGCTATAAATGCATCAAAAAGACAATTCTAATTGAAAGCAAGATAGAATGGTGATTTATCAGGTCGATGAGAGAAAAATGCAGTTACTTTTATTCTCTTCTTCTATCACAATTTCGGTCCTCATAGGCACGAATTCCCCATACAGTTGTTGATCAGCAATAAACCTTCAAGTGTCCGTTATGAGACGATGGATTGATGAAATATAAATCTGACTTTGGACAATTTTCTAAATAATAACTGGTACGGTGGAAGGCTTATTTTAGGTTTAATCAAATGAATAAACTAATTATTTGTACGTAGCATATTCATGAATTAAATAATTCAGGATTTTATAATTCCTGAAATTATTACAATTAATTAAATTAGCCTCTTATACTGTGAGGTTTATGATACGTTGAAAGAATACAATTTTTAAAGGGTAATTTATGATTTTAGTCACAGTCAAATAAATACCAAATTATAAAATTGGCATGAAATAGTATTGAGTTATCCTAATAAAACTAACAACTAATCACACAACTTTACATAAATACTTCCTTAGGATTCCCTTTCAATTTGAATAATCTACTGTAGCAATCTTATTTTAACCAGATATCGTTTTATCAGTATAGCTAATGTATACTATATTATAGAAACTCACTACAACTATTATGGTGATATAGTTAGAAAGTGTTCAATATACAAAGTCAAAAAAAATATAGATAAGCAACACTAATAGATTATCTTCGAATAATATCAATACTGTTTACATCATATACATTTACTAGATAATAGCTACTTGATATCCAATATGAGGTACAGGTATTCAAACTTTTATGCGTGCACAGGTAAGGTAGTGTTATAAAACAGCTTTGCAACAAGATGACGTAATGCACGATCAATCAGTCGATTCCCTGAACCACATATCAGGGAGCAGTATCTACTCTTTCAAGAACTCTTTTTTTATACTAGTAGACTATAAAAAGACTTCTACGCCTCGTATCTTACGTTAAACACTACTCATAAGAACTCACTTTATTATGCGATTTATCGCATTTATCGGCTCTTTTACAATAGCAAAGACATCCTAGTTAGTAATATTAACGTTGAAAACTGATAATGAATCAAAGGCTAATTTTATCTACTGCTACCTAATGAAGACAATGGTATTTACGAACATAGACATCGAATGACTAATACAAAATTGTCAGATTACAATATGTCCGATCCTGGAACATTTCTGCGATAATCTACAATCTACCATAAGTAAATTATAATTACAGTGATTTGAATTGTAAGAAGATTATTCTCGATTCTCTAATTAAACAATTAACTTTAGTAGGCTGTATAATCACCATAAAAGCAAGTGCTACATTTAAATGTCTTATATCTAAATTAGAACTCTTCATATAAGTTTAAATCAACAAAATTATCCTAACATAGATGTTTGTACTATAATCTCGATTTTACAGTGTATAACATTACTACATGTTACAGTGTTATATACTGTAACAGGTAGTAATTTATTAAGACCGCACTTAGCTCTATGCATCGATAAATCTTCTGGTTACTTATTAATTAATCGATTTGTAAGGTATCATACCTAGTATCGATTAATTAATTACACATTGTATTTGGTATGAAATATATTATCACCAACTTTAATCCGATATAAATCATAAAATTATTCATAAGTATATATCAAAGATTTGAATGAAAATTTTGACCTAGATTAACTTTTCTTAATCATTCCTGTCACAGGCTTACCACTTTTTCACAATTAAATTCATATTACAAAATATAGTTACAATTAAAAAGTAAATAAAATAGAGTTGGTTAACACCATAGAGAATTACTATTATAAATTTAGAGAATTTCACGAGAAAATAGTTGAGTCTTGACTGAAAAATTAGTTAGATATACTGTACAATTTACAATGATAAGCAATTACTAAGTAGTTTCTCAATAAAGAGAATCATAAACTAGTAAATATAGCATAAAGAATCTCTATAGCTAAATCGTCATGAATGTTTTCCAATTATAAATGAACTTTAATTATAATTATTAGAATATACTGATAGCAAACGCATAAGGAGAAATATCTAAATAATTAGAAATAATGGGTGTAAAATTTGTACTAAGCAGACATTAGCTATGAAGCATGTAATCAAGAATTGACGGATGCTATAGTGCTTCATAAGCTATACGATTATACTAACTTTTACTTAAATCTCCGGAAGTAAAGTTACCCCAATAAAATAGTTTTCCCTATAAATTACATCGATCAATTAAATAATTATAAATCTATCAGGAGCAACAACAATTAAATTACGGTAATAAACTATTACAATATATGTAGAGAGCATAACACCTGAAGATTTTGTTTAAGCTATGAAAAAATATTAAGCGAAGCAGTACAAACTTCACTCAAAACTATTATTATCTATGACAATGTTCGATACATAAATTATCGAACATTTATTTTGTTTCGATAATTTGACAAGCTTAATAATAAGATATCTGCTAAAGTTAGAATGAAACTTTGTACAACAGAGAGCTTATTTCATCAACACAATATTCTACGGAAATCATAACAAATACTTTCATCTGTCCGTCTTATTTCTTATTCCGATCTGTGTCGTAAGAATGCAAATAGTATCTAGGACATTGACATAATATTTATAATTACAAAGCTATATGGTATAGTAAACAGTTGAGAGTTTTATATTGGGAGGGTTTATGGCTTTTTAGCTATTGTCAGCAGTTTAATTTAATCCATTACCAAATGAGATAGTCAATTATAATGTCACACATAGCATAATAGGTCAATTATAATTGTGCCTGTAGGCAAATTGAGTACGCATTATAGATCAATTGACAAAACGATTTGGTCATAGTCATCTAAAAAAGAATTTATTGTTATTCTGATATACTTATATTTCAGTAGCTGTGAAGCGTTTCTGTATCATTATGATGCAACATGTTTCTCACATTCTTTAGTTATATTATATTATGCCAAAAATAAAATAGGAAACCGATTAGAAATGGTTATCGAAGAGGCCATAGATAAGATCTATTAATTTGAATGAAATAAGTTCTTTTTAAATCTGCTATACTATGCAGCGCTCATGCTGTGGTTTGTAATCCAATACTAGCTTTTATATTACTCAGCTAAGAATGAAGAAACATTTTACTGCCCTATTTGTATAAGTAATTTGACCTTAATTTATTGCAATCAACCATGTCGTACTGAGCATAAAAGATATTGGCAGGAAATACTTTAGATTGCCGTTTCTAAAAGCATTATACGCGAAAATTTCTGTTCGAGACACTTGTTGATATGACTACGTAATAACAGTTTACCCGGTAACTGCAAAATATTTTGATAATTAGGCCATGGTGTATATACATAATCTCTCATGACCTCTCCAGCCCAAAAGGGCGCTAAAGAGAACGATCTAGATCACCATAGTAACAGATGTAGGCATTTCTATTGCATTTTATTTTTTACGATCATTTTATTCTTATAAAATCAAACTGGTAGTAGACTTTTCTTTGGTAGCAATTTGAAATAGTACCGGAATCGTGCCATATTTGTTATGGATTTTACGATAGCTGATGATTGTTGATAATAAAAGAGCGAATCAAGAAATTAATTGGTTCAGAATATTGACAGTCATGCTTTTATCACCATTTCTTAATCACCAATTGTGATTTAAGCTTTTTTTGATCGATTAAGTCACATGGTTAATGACGCAAAGCACTGCCTAAGTAAATAATTCCGATGTTAATTCGAAGTCGTACTGACAACGATATTCTCCTACTTAATTAAGAATTTAAGTTTGAAATCATAGCAGTTCGTAAACTTCTCATGTATCTGTAAAAACTAAGAGTAACATTCGAAAATTAAAAGGATATCCAACTCACAGGTTTTAAAAAAGTTCATCAACTTCATCAATCAAAAAGTAAGAAGCAACTTACGATGGGTTCTGGTAGCAGTCTACAATCTAGAACGGTAGACTATAACGCAACGGCAAGAGCAATGATAGCAAAGGGTAAACGACTTCTAGATAAAGGATTATATCAAGAATCGCTTCAAGAATATCAAGATGCTTTGCAAGAGATGGATACCATTAATTCTACAAATCCTAATAGATCAAGTAACAAATTGGATAACCCCATGCTAGATATTTATCATGGCATGGCGATAGCTCATGAGAAACAAAGCGAATGGACAGATGCAGAATCAGTGTATTATAAAATGATTCTATTGCAAGTCCAATTAACCGGAGAGAAGACCGTTCAAGTTGCTGATTTATATCGCCAAATGGGAAAATTATATTCAAAATTAAGCCAATTCAAAAAAGCTTTAATCATGCTTGAAAAATCCCTTCAAATTCGATTAGAATTATTTGGGATTGAAAATTTAAAAGTAACGGAAGCTTACGATGACCTCGCGTTGTATTATTGCCGAATGAATCGATTTCATGATGCCCAAAACAATTATGAAAAATCATATAATATCCGTTTAAGGGAATTAGGCCAAAATGATATCGAAATCGTCAAATCATATAATAATATAGCAGATGTTCATATGCAGCAATGCCATTATAATGAGGCTTTGTCCTTCTATCAAAAATCGCTCAATCTTTGTAGACGAATTTATGGCGATAAACATCGTGATGTCGCTCAATCCTATCAACACATAGGTGATGTTGCTGTTAAACAGTTGCGATATGAAGAAGCGGCGGTCATTTATCAGACATGTTTAAATATGACTTTGGATTTATTTGGCAAAAAGCATGAAGATATTGCTCTTATATATATTAAAATGGCTGATATGCATATTCAGCAATCGGAATATCACGAAGCCATGAGTTTGTGTAAGAAAGTGCAAAAAATGTATCAGCAAATGGATGAAAAAGAAAATCCAAATTCTACAGCACTAACGTTAAAAATAGCTAAAGTCTATCATTTACAGAGAAAATATGATTCTGCTTTAGGATTACTGCGGAGTCTATTGACAAAATTAACTCAGATATATGGGGATAGGCACGTGGATATCGCTGCTACTATGGAAGCTATATCAGAAGCAGTTTATGAACTTTTTGAATATGAAACAGCACAAGACACTTTTGCTAAGACTTTACGTATGCGGTTAGCATTAACTGGCGAAAATAATGTCGATGTTGCGAGGATATATTTTCGCTTAGGTGATATTAACTATGCCCGAGGTAATATTCCTGAGAGTATCAAATCTTATCTTCGATCTCTAAAAATTCGTTTAATCGTCTTCGGAGATAGCCATCCATCTGTTGCTGAAGCCGGAGATAGTATCGCGTTTATTTACATGATTTTTCGTAAGCATCATGAAGCTTTGGATTTATTCGAAAAATCGCTCAAGATCCGCTTACATGTGAATGGCGGAATGAGTCCTAATACGGCTGCATCTTATAAAAATGTTGCTGTTATTTACTCCAAAGTTGGAAGACTGGAAGATGCCCTAGAAATGCTTCAAAAATCTCTTGATATTCGCTTGCATCTAACTGATGGCAAAAATAAAGATGTTGCTGTGTTATACGAAGAAATTGCAACAATCCATGCATTACAATCTAAATATGAAGAAGCAATTACCGCGCTAGAGACATCATTAGAGATTCTAATACCCTTAGTGACGGAGGAACACCGGGATGTTGCCAATATTTATCTTCGTATCGGGGAAATATATAAAGCCCAAAAATTGTATAACAGGGCAGAGTTTTACTATCATAAGTCATTAACAAAGTTAATAGCAGCTATCGGGGATAGCAACTTAGAGGTATCTGGTCGTTATGAGGAATTAGCTTACGTACAATACTTGAACGAGGATTATGATCAAGCAGAAGTTTTATATGCGAAAGCTTTGGACATTCGTTATACTGATCTGCGCCAAATAGACGAAAAAGTTGCAGAGTTGTTCCAGATACTGGGAACTATATACATGAAATTAGAAAATTATAACGACGCTCTTATGGTTTTAAATAAAGCTGTCGATGTTAGGACTCAGCTTTCAGCTGATCGCAACAGTGATTCTTTTGCCAATTTGTATCAAAATCTAGCTGCAGTTCATACTAGACAATCAATGCAATATAATGCACAGCCTCTATTACTTAAAGCTTTAGCAATTCGAATTAAATTACACGGAGATAACAGCATTAATGTTGCTAATACATATGAGGCTATGGCTCATGATTATCAGCAACGCCAGCGATATCAAGAAGCTCTTACCATGTATCAGAAGGCCTTAAAAATTGCAGATGATCAATTAGGACCTACTCATATATTTGTTGCTCAATTATATGATTTCATCGGAGATGCCTACAAAGACTTGCATGATAACAAAAATGCAAGAACCATGTATCAGAAATCATTACAAATTCAGGCTGATGTATTGAAATTAGAGAATCAAGACGTTTTAGACTTGTACAGTAAGTTAACTGATCTCATTCAGCAGCAAGGAGATTCTGAAGACGCTGCTTTACTGTTAAAGCAGGCTAAACTTTTGCACCAGAAATTACCAACCTTAACTACAAATAATATTTCACTTAGTAAATTAAAATACATTTTCTGGGAAGGCAATCGGTCATAACTTTAGCCATTAATTAAATCTTTACAGGTTACTTGTGCATTATTTGTGGCTTATCTTTGGATTTGAAGTAATAATTATATAATTGATCTAGTTTCGTCTTTAAATACATAAATAGATATGAGAGCTTTGATTTTCCTGTGATTTTCAAAATATTCATTACTAGCCAAGTAGCCTTAATATCAGGATAGTCAGAAACTAATTTAGTAGCATCACATTGATGAAGCATCGCATTGGAATTAAATGTTTGGTGTAAACGAATGATAAATCATAATATCAATTTTCGAACAGATTGGCCACATTTTATAGGGATTAAAATTGTATAACGGGAAATACTTAGCTACAATTTTTATCATATGGTGAACACCTTTAATCACTATTGAAATTGTAGAAAGAAGACTACGAAACTGCAAGTTCGAAAAATTTTTGTTTAATTGAAATGCCAACTGGACATCTAAGTGAAACATTACAAAAATATATAGTAAATGTATATGATTTTGTATTATTTTTGTCAGGACAGATTGAATTTGAATCAACTACTCGAAAAGTCCAAGACTTTTTACTATAGTTTATAATTCTCTAGAAATTAGTTACTAAGCCAAAGCACTAGAATTTATTACCTATATCTGTTATAGAAGTAATTTAGAACGCGATGGATATCTGATTGGCTCTACAGGAGTTAAACATAAATTGTGTGTGATCTCTAACTGTATATATATATATATATGCTGCAACATTCGCGTTAAATATAAACTTTACTACTTTTTTGCGGTAATATTTAAATTTACCCAAATAGTATTTTAACAGGATTAAAAAATTTGTCTTGTTATCACGGTCAAGACTTTGTCATGAAATGTATATACTGTCAATTATATCTCGAAGTTAATACTGTGTACGCTGTGTAGCCATTGTTAACCAGTATACTTTCGTTGATGAATAATTATTATCCTGCAGAAGTAATTTATTAACTTTGACGACGTCTAAGAAAAGTCTCCTTAGAGGCATTACCCATAAATTTTGATCATTTGATTAGACAGCTTATCCAAGCCTGCCTATTTTATCTTTACCTTAAGTTATGCTATAAATTAAGCGCAAGAGGTTCATAAAATACATACTGTTTTGTCGTTAGTTTAGACTATAACTCATTCGTTTTAATAAAGTCTTTCATATAATTCAAGCCGTTAGTAGTTTTGTAAGATGTAGAAAACATTTAGCAATGACTTTAAGCGATTCAAAACTTTATTCTCAAAGATTCAGACAAGCAAAGTTTGATCAATCAATCGGTGAAGCGATTTAGTAAGTGTAAAGTAGAATTATAACTATAATTTTTTATTAGTGCAGGGCTAAATTCGTAGCTATAACACCCGCCTACTACGCTAGATGAAAAGTATGGCATCCAGCTTCAGATATTTATATCCCTCCTCTTGTAAAATAATTGATAGACTCTTTTACTTGGAGTGGAGCTTTTGATAGACATGTTATGTATTCAATTATTATGCAGCGTCTGTTTGACTGTAAAAGAATAATTTATAGTTTTGATTTTACTGTTCGTTAGTTATTAGAGTTTCATATAGCAGTAAGTTATTAAACGTTCAATATTGCCTTATTATAGCAATAAATCTTATTAAAATGTACATATGATCTGAATCATGATGGTTCTACTCCTTCATACTTTCTAAATTTTTTAAGAACAGATTCGAATCGTTGTTGTTCTCGAACTTTAGCAATCTATCGCATTGAAATGTTTTATACAGATTTATATCCCTGCTCCTGTAAAACAATTGATAGACTCTTTTAATTAGAATAGAATTCTTGTAGAAACATTATGCAACCACTTTAATTAACTATCCCTATTAGATTATAAGAGAGTAATTCATAAATTGAGTTTCCCTGTACAGTAGTGTTCATTACGGCTTGCGGTCAATTTGTATGTAACTATGGATATTCATACTCGTAGTAAAGTTTCATTTAACAGTACCAAATTTTTATTAGAATGCCGTATGATCTGAATTGTAGTAATACTACACCTTTATACTTTCTAATTATTTTAAGAACAAATTCAAATCCTTGATGTCATCAAACTTTAAATAGAATTACGAATAAATAAGTGGCTAAATACTATTTATTCCAAAATGGATCATATCACAGTATACGAATACTTATGTTCAAGAAGTATTAACGATCTACCAAAAGAGTAAATAATACTAAATAGAGAGCTTTATAAAGATTCACTTCAATTTATTCGCTGTTAGAAATAACGTTGCATTGGGCGTTAGTCCAGATTCATATAACGTTGCATCCATATCCGTATATAGCTTCTTGGGAAAGGAAGAACGAATCTCAAACGGTGGTTCCGAAGACGACCTTTATAACAAAAGGTAAATTTAATTTCTTCTAGCCTTCAAATTTGATAGATGATACAGCTGTATTTTTACACTTTACCTTTGGTTACTTATATATTTATATAGATCCTGAATCGTATCATTAAATTTTAATTTAACGATATATACCTGTATTGTGAAATTAAATAGGTAAAGTTTAACAGCCTTCAGATACATATCCCTTAATCTAGTGTTCGCAAACACCAGAATGCCCTACATTATACAAAGTAACGTAGTAATTAATGATTACTTGGCTATTGTCTTCATTCTTAATTCGCAACGTTGTAATATCATGTGGAGTTGCAGGCCTCTCAGATTCATCAGCGTGTCTAATGATAGAAAACAGCACGAAACCAACGGGAATTTGGTAAATTAAATCGATTAAAAACTTTTAAATGAATGGGTAGTTTCCTAGTATGCTTAAAATTATATTTATTTACAATCCGGTTGCCTATTAAGCAGATACAATTCGTAAACTAAAAGTATATGCGTAGATATAGCTATCAATATGGAACAAGCCTTTATCATAAAATACTGCATTAATTAAATTATGTGATTTTATTACTATATTCTTAATTTAGCCGTCTGATCTTACTTTACTTTCATGTCTTTCACTTGTTTAGTTTCTACGATCACAACTTTACTTTTCGTAGAATCGCTTGTCTGATAAATTTTAGTTTAAATTTAAAATTTTTAGTAGCCTCTCAATAATACATAAGAAGAGGTGCAGTGCTAATAATGGAACTGTGAGTCTTAGCAAAATCTTTGTCAAATCTCGTACAATAGTTTATATATATATTGATTTGATATGTAAATAGTTTACCTGAATATTTTCCTTAATATCTGATCGAATATTAACAATTTTTCCATCGCGTATGACAGATTCAGGCAACTTCGATAAAAATTTATCTACAGTAACTGGTTTTCCTAATCAAGATATTTTCAAGAACTTTGTCTCAATTCAACCCTTGGCTATACATATCTAAGCTATTAAATGATATACCAGCTAATTTGCTAGTGACTTTAACTTTATCCCGCCGCGACACCATGTTGCCCGGTGGATTCGACTTTCCGCCCAAAATATTTCCAAGACCAGGAAAATTATCTAATCGCTGATTTCGATATTCTGTTTCACGATGATCGTAAATCTATAATCGATAAGAGGATAGAATTCTCAGCAAATGTCTTAATGAAGCATAATCAAGTGGGCTTGAAATTCAGTTCTAAAGATTTTAATATTTCATTCAGTTTAGGAATAACCTGGAATGGTACGCCGTCTGGATGTCTAGATTGTAATTCTGATGGAAAATAACCATCACAAATATCGCGAATAAATTGCTGTATAAGCAATACGAGAATATGCGTACAGAAATGTATTTCAAATCAGTATTTTTAACATAAAGGTTCAAAGTTTAATCTATAAAACTTCTGTTATGAAATCAGACGCTATTAATTACGTAGATGGTTAGGTAATCGCCTTTATAGGCATACTGATAAAGGCAACATTTGCTAGTAAATCAGTTTTACCTGTGCATAGGGTTCATCATAATACCTAAATGGACCTTCGTATAAAGCGAAACCATTGCTATAAATCGAGATAGGAATTGCGTCTGGAATCTGAAATGGTAAGTATTTAAGTACATCAGTTACCAGAGTTTACACATCTAGAAACCAGAGACGAAGGTCATATCCTTTTTAGATATGAATGTTGAATATTAACTCGTTTATAAACCTGAAAAACAGCTCTTCCTGTTGTCTTGACAATCTTAGGATTATCCGCATTTGCCAATAAATTTAGTTCCTACAAGCAGTTAATGACAAATGTTAGAGGATTAACTAATACAGAAACCAACACAATCGAATAGTGGCCTTATAGCGTGCATTTTTCTCAGATAAACAGGCATTCGGGCAACTATTTTGTGCTTATTGGTGGTAGCAAACATTAACATGTGAGAATAAAATTTCTGTCTAACATTTCTAAAAAAAGTCATGCTTTGTTTGATACTGTATGAAAACCTTGTAGAAAGATTTTGATAATCACAAATTTCTCTACGTAGTACAATATTAACTTACCTTAATATTTTCAATCACAAGATTAAAATCAATTGCCGTTGCTGTTGCAAGTGATTGTTCTGATAAATATTAGAATGTAAATTAGATCAATTTCGATCATTCCTATTGCATGCAATAAGCTTATTGATAATGACTGATTGATTTTGGGAGAATGATCAAACCTGGTTGCCACATAGTCGTCGATGCAGTATTTTGTTTCTCAGAATTATCTTGTGTACTACTGTCTTCGTCGTCTTCGCTTTCGTCATCTCCTATCCACACGAGGCCATAATCATTCAAAAATCGCTGCGTAATTTAGAGACAGATACAGAGTAAGAATTTTAGATGAACTTGTATGGTGTATTATAAAGTTAATACAAATTTGAGATTGTTAGATTTAAGCAATATCCATTCAAAGGCGTGAGAAAATCTTAACCTCCATTTCATGGACTTGTCTTTGTAATGTAACGCATTTTGCTTTTAGTTCTCTGTAAGATTCTTCGTCATCATTTCTAGCTAAAAGAGATGAATTTAAAAATATGAAATAATGAAAGCAGAAATGATTTGTGCCTAGTCTTTTACGGGATATTTGTATATAATAGCTAATTTATTATAGAAGATCAAACGAAAGTACATATATACTGATCAGTTTTCTAAGTATTTTAAGAACAAGTCATATGCAATGCGAATAGAGTTACGTAAGTATTGTAGTCCTATGAGATATCTTAATGATCGACATATTATTCATCTAAAGTCGAAAATTTTGATCAGTCTTTCGAAATTACAAGTTTATTATATAATAAAATAAGTATTATAACATCAGTGGCGAGGAGTCAAGTGAGCGTATATAAGTTTAGGCCATGATTGGAAATTAATTAGAAATTTGATCACTGATGTACACTGAACCCCTACAATATCTTGTCATTAAGGTATGAGATATCGAATTTTCTGCAATACAACTATTTAAAACTACAACATTGCGTTATAAGATGGAATAAAGAATAGATTTTCTGCATGGCTGAAGTTAATCCATTCATGACTGTGGTATAGCTTCAGGTTTATATTTGCACAAATAACATTTTTGCTTGCGAATTTATAGTATCTCATCATATCTGGTAGTCTTACAAAGCAATAGATAGAATTTGTCTTACCATTCTTTAACTTTAGCTGCTTGACTTGGAACTCTAGGTGCCTAATTCTTTTATCCTAGATTGATTCAATATCACACAGATTTAAGACTGTTGTATTTCATAAGCAGAATATTACTAGCAATAAGTAGCATAATGTTAAATAGGACCTTTTCAGCTCCATCTTGCTTCGCTAATGCCAATTGCTTCTCAGTTGTGGTTAATCGCTTAAGCATAACTGACATAAGATCAGCGTCTGCTTCACTATCGCCTGAAATAATAGGCAGTTTAGCTAAGATCATAATTCGAAATAGAATTCGGTAGCTATTACAGTTCAAGCCTGAGTGTTGTTCAAGAGGGAACTAACGTAACGGGAAATTATTCTGCTTACCTCTAGGTGACTTTCTTGAGCTTCGATCGTGCTGAATGTCATTAACTATTTCCTTCTGTAAGTAATCACTAAATTTCTTATTCATTTCTTGAGCATATAGTTCCTCATCTAATTTCATTTTATAGCAAATTCAATTACACTTAAAACTATCTCGCCAATTAGGTTTACAGTTGTGATGAAGTCATTACTAGAATAAATCAAATGAAGATATTGAAGCCGCTACCTGTTCTTTGAACTTGAGTATTTCGGAATGGAGCGATTCTCTTTTTCCTATTTGATGTAATGATTGAATCATAAAGTAAATTATCGACTAATATGATGCAGAAGACTAGGCATCAACGTGTAAAGGAATGCGATCTTGAGTATAGCTTTCTGAGTTGTCTATTAATTTAACACGAAATAATACCGCAAATCTCTGTGAATTACATATCGATAGTATAAATAGAAGTCATCGTCTATCGCTGCGGAAAGTAGATTACATCATTAAATTATAAGCAAGTCATAACATTCATTCTCCGTGTCTGCCTTTATGACTATAATTTGTGTTTATACCATCCTCTACCATTCTAAAACTTACGTTATCTGTTCTTCATTGTCTTCCTGCTTTGGAAGGGAGTATAGATTGCCTTCTTTCTGATTTGATGGCACTAAAGGCACCCTTTTGGTTTTTTTCAAACTCTGTATCGGTCCACTCATATTAATATCCAATAATGATATTTAGTTACGCACAATTTATTTTCAACTGTAATGGTAACTTTAAATAATTCCTTATGATTTCTTTTTGTAGCTTCAACTATATAAGGCTTCTTAAACTAATCAGATCAACCTAATCGATTGAATAGTGACGGTTTAAAATTCACATTTAACTCTGATTTCATGGATCACTTAGTACCAAGAACTTTATTAATAGATTAACTTTAACGTAGTCATTGTATAACATCGATGTCGTTATTTATAAATATAAAATGCGTTGATTACAGCAGTTAATGCTGTACTATCAATACTAGAACAGCATAGGTGCTGTGATTAGCTTAAAGTCTTGTAGCATACTAAATAATAATAGTTTATGTACTGTATCGGTCATGTTAACGCCTTGTGTAATACGGTAATCATATTAATTATTAGCAGATGCAAACACTGCATAGTTATCGTTATAAGATTCGAAACAAATCCATATTTGTTCAAGTACAGTAATTTTTCAGAAATATAGTGAATTTATATGGAATGACAGCGAAGAAACTGGCTGTAGGTTGGTCATTAATAGCCAATAACGGTCTAAGACTGTTGATGTCTCGGCGACAAGAGTCAACTTTAAATAAAGTAAATATGATTCATAGATTGTCAAATCTTGCATGGAATAGATGCAATAAACAAATTGTGAATTTGATATGCAATAACTACATTATTGTTTAAAATGTAGAAATTATTCTCCTTTGTATTCGCTCGAGAATAATGAACTTGTTAAGTGCTCCCCTCGTAATGATACAGTTCGTATAGTTAATTAACTCTAGCTATTTTATCAACTACAGCTAGATTGGAAATAGAATAGCCTGCTGAAGTTGTAATAACTTTACAATCTATAACTTAGAGTAAGAGGAATTTATGGCTCTCAAATCCTCATAAACACCTTAAATCAAATGGAATGCAACTTAATGTTAGCTGTTTTCTGTAGAGACGCCCGATTATTGTTGTTAAAGACAGTTGTGACTACGTGTACACAAGCTGGTCGTGCCATACATTGAAGTAGTCGTTTCGTTCCCATTTCAGAAATCTAATGGAAAGAGAACATGTGGAGCATTGTTTATCAGCCAATAATTCTAATTAATTATGAAATGGCAAATTCTGCAAGGATTTACACTTACCATAACACGTTACACTTCAGAAATAAACGTGCCTACGTCATACTGACCGAATGTATTTCAGAATGAAATTATTATATCGGTAGGATAAGGGATAATCTATAAGGATGTTCCGCTATAATTAGTACTACGAGAAATATGAATCAATTAAAAGCACAAATGTAGCGTGCTGCTCAGATGATTATAACTGATTCAACTCCTATGTAGGAGCTACTGATGAAATGCATTAAAAAATCCTACAAGCAGCGACAAGTAGGCCTGATCGATGCTGTACTTATGCAGACTTTATACTAGATCTCCCAAAATGTACTTATAGCTCTACAACGATACAACATAAAGCAAATTAGGACAACGTTAAAGAAGACAAATAGAGTAAGTATAATAACTTCATTAGCCCATGAATGCATAAGAAATAGCAAAGCCAAAGTCTAACTGAACGGATATATTTTTGAACGACATATTTTATGCATAATATGAGGAATTGCTGATTATGGAATGTTATAAAGAAATCGTGCAAACTGCGACAAGTAGGTCTGATCGATACAGCACTAATCTAGAGCCATAGTTAGAGCCCTAAAGATACGCTTATAACTCTACAGCGATGCAATATCGAATAAATTAGGATAATGATTAAGAAGACGGATAGTGTAACTATAGTAACTTCATGACCGGTGCATGCGTAAAAATAAGAGTGATACTTAACTAATACTAACCGAAAGTATTGTCGATCACCAGAATAGTTTCTATAAGGTACGGAATAGGGTATAAGTAGTTTGTGTTTAATAGACGGCATTTATACTGTATCCCATTTGACACGCAAGCGTAGTTTCGTCATTATTGATGCCGTATCCATAGCAACTTAATCAAGCTAAATTGCTGTATGGCAATAGTTGACATTAAAAAGATTTCAAGCTATAACATAAGTCAGCGTCACGGAATTGAAATCGGACATGAAATTTTAGCTAGTAATATCCGATTATTCTTTAATTTAAAAGGTTATTTCGTTGTATCATCATCTTCCTCATTGCCAAGATGAATGGATTAATTGATGAAGCAAAAAAGAATCGTTTCTCAACCATTCCTGATCTTTCCACCAATGGTAAGTATAAGATCATAAAATGTGATGATGCTATGGTCGATTGCTTTAACACCAGAGAAAAACTGATCATAATAATCATAAGCATGTTTCAAATTGATACGGTGATCTATTGATAAGCTATACCCTGTACATTTGAACTTTAAGATTTGATAATTTGTTCTCTTTCATTTTATCAGATGTCCTTGATATTTGGGACAATATTTCGAGATTTGTCGAACAGCAAATGCTGTTGCAAAAGGTGTGCTACGCTATATCACTTCATTTATTGACAAAGGATTAGTAACTTTCAAAACTTGCTACATTAGCGGAAATAAATGTAAAAGGCTATTTGAATGTCATATTGACGGCATATTTATATTGATTAGGGTGTTTCCATACCTGGCTTGGGGACATTTACTTTCTCTCAAAAGAAACTCGATATGGGTGGCAATAAATATATTCTATTCCAACGTCCTATATTTACGATATCCGAAAAATTCGCCCAAAGCCACGGCATAGCCTTTACTAAAACTTATACCCCAGGTAGCTATAACATAGATATATGTACAATATCAAGATGATGTAAAGTGATTCAAATATGGCATGTACAAGAACTCGCAGTAGCATTTCTAAAAATTGATAGAAATTAATTTAACTGCAATAAAGTCTATCAAGTAATCATAACAACCTAAACGGAGTGATTAGAGAACGATTGTACGATGATAATCAGGCGCCATTATCAATCAACAATACACTTTAGTGATTTTGTGTTGCAAATGATAGGGTGGAAAATATCGACGAAGTTAATGCTTTTCCCTGCTGTTGTACAAATTTTAATTAAATTAGTTCATTGCAGTGAATATATAATTCTTGTAGATCGATCATTATTTTTCTTTTAATCATCGGTAACTTTTCGATTAACTATTTATTGAGTATTGTTGTATTAACATTTCCACAGTATAGCAGAAAAAGCACTCATTTCTATTTCTATTTACATATACATATATAAAATTTAAACGAGAAAATGTTGTACCGTAATTAAAATGAGTTAAGCTGCTAGTAAACTTTAATTTTCTTTAAACGAAATTGACAGCTTACTGCAAGCTTTGCGCCAATAAGTAATATTTAATGGAAAGTAAATTGTGATTATGCCAATGGGGTCTAACGGTAGTTGCAGTTAAGTTAGATTCAACTAGTCTTTCCAATGGTAGGTACATATTACTTCATAGCAAGGATGTTTCTGATCGGTTTTTACCTATTATAAAAAATAGGTGAGATCCCGGTCATATCTTTAAATCTATCGTATTTATCCAATGAGAGTCCATTTAACCGTGATACTATCGAGGCTTGCGTAAAAGAGGTCCTTATGGCTCTGTCAAAGTCGGTTCGAGCAAATCGTAACATAGAGTTTACATTTACGGGCGTCGGTAGACTATGCATTCGTAGCAAAAAGGTCAAAATGAAGTTTTTCAAAGAGTTTATTAATTGTATGGACGGCTCTGGTCATCTGGCTCAAGCCTTGAGCAATGTAAGATATTTATAATAAAATAAGTTCAAAACATGTGACTGGTTCATGCTAATAACTAATCAACGTTATCCACAAACAGAGACCTTTTACCGCTGATTCAGTCATTTCACCCACTAAACGCCCTGGAACTGGGAATACAGTTATTTTACCCAGGTACTACTCAGAACATAAACAAATCATTGGGATATAAATGGATATTTCATCAATTATGATACAAGCTGAAGTTAACCGTTTATTTCTTATTTCATTTGCTGTAAATTAGATTGAATACACCCGTAGATAAAGATGCCTTAGCTCCAGAAACTAGCCGACTAACTCCAATTTCCAGGCGTTCAGTTACTTCTTTAGGCCATGTAAGTGATGGTCGAAAAAGTATGCCAATTATCCAAGAAGACATGGAGGAATTTAAATTAAACGGTATTGGAGAGAGTACTTTAGGATGAGCCCTTCATTTTCTAGTTGATATCGTTTTTATCTGACAGCTTAATAACTTTAACTAGATGAGGAAAATTTAAAGCACGATAATAAATCAAACGTTTTGAGGGAAAGCGAGATACACGGAAATTCTGATCAAAAATTGTCGTTTAAAAACAGTCCAGAAGAAATGATTGAAAATCAATTATCACCTATTAAACGTGATACGCTTCTAACTCCGAATAATTCCAGAGCCCCTTCACGGCAGCAGTCATTATCGCCTAGAGAGCAGTTGAGTCCATCAAGACGCACTAGTAATGCAAGCAGGTTATCTGTAGAAAAACCTTCCGGAAGTCGTTCTCCTTCAACAGCTAGAACTCATGTTGATAATCAGAAACCATCTGAGGATTCAACTGGCAAGCTACAAACCGAGTTTGGAGAAAAGAATGCTGTTGCCGCAGGTAAGGTTTTACTATGCCCCCATCATGGTCAAGCTGGACAAGAATTATGTTATTTGTGTCACCAGCGGGAAGCAAAGAATGTTCAAATATCTTATGCTAAAGAGAAAGCTCAAATGGATAGAGATTATGATACAATCTTACAAAAATATCAACAACAACAAGATGCAGAACGTATTACTAAAGAATTGGTAAGCACTATTATGCTTTCGGCATAGTTTATTTCATAAAGAGCCCTCAATATCGATTAGTTCACTGTACTATTTTCAGTCAATTAGTCATTTTCTTTTACCTTGTCGGCAAATTAGAAGATTCTATTTCACACTTAAGTTTCGATTGAGGCAGACTTTAGTTTTCTTGATTGCTTTCCTGGTACATTGTGTATTATAGGCAAAAGACAAAGCCTATCGAGACTATATTAAGCAATTATCCGAATACAATTTGAAGGCAGCCGATGTGAAAAAAGTAAGGGTATAAGAAATTTAAAACGTTGCTAATTTAACTATCATTTTAAGGCAATTACAGTAGAACAAAAATTAAAGAATTTACCCTCTCCAAATAGAAAGCACTAAAGGAAAATGCCAGTGGTACTCCGGTAAGCCATTCCCCTAAATAAATCGTTAAATAAGTTCTTTACCTAAGTATTAGATTTATGAGATGATTTATAGAGTCTACTTCCTTTCCAAACAATTAGAAAATGATTTTGAATCGAGCAGTTACCCCGTTACCCTACGAGAAGCAAAAGCAGTATCATTCCATGCTAGATCAACAGGTGCCATAGTGTTGAAACAAAAACAAATTTGTTTACGAACATTAAAGTTAGTTTTTACCGTCCTGCTTTGCTAATAGGTACAAGAAAAGCGTGAAAAAGGTAAAATATTAATGAAGGAGAAGGAATTTTTGGAAAAGCTGGAGCAGGCTCAACTGGCAGAAGAGTAAGATCTACAGTTGCAGAAAGTTTACTGTTCTATGTTTATAGCCCAATGATCAGATCTAAATTTCTAATAACTGATTGTCATTAACGAATTTCGAGGAGAACGCTAATCACTATGTTACGTTACTTTTCAATCCATATCAGCATAAAGCGAGAAGAAGAACACAAAGCAACTCAGCGCAAACAAAATTTAGAAAATTACGCAACTTGTTTGAAAACGCAGGTTACTAGCCATTTCATCCTAATTTAAAGTTGTGTAATTCCTTCCATAAATAATCTTAATAAAAATCCTTAGTATTTAAGTCCATTTTTTTATTAGCATAAAGATACCATAATATCTTCTCAATTTCTTTATCCATTGCTACTTGTATGATAATGTTTCGATTAAGTAACGTAAATTAACTTATCAAGGAAATTTGTACTATTAGAATCACAGCTAATAATACAAGACAGGTTGTATATTGTAATCTAAATTAACCAAATTTAGATAGTTTGAACTTTGTGACTAGTTTAAATGCATTCGTAAATCATAAACATTGTTATTTTCATCTAACGATATATTTTATCTGTGTAGATTCATGTTAGTAGTCACAGTAAAATACTTACGGGCACACAATTTAAAGTAATGCATTATTTTCTTGTTAGATGGCGAATAAGAACCCGGAGCTACCTGCAAATTATCCAAATTCGCTAACACCAGTGTTTGGAACAGATGCAGAACGTTTAAATCTTGCTGCAAAAAGGCGAAGGCGCGCTCATGAAATTTACAAGGAGCAATTAGCTTCAATTGAACAAGCTAAAAGGGATAAGATATTGCAAAAATTGCAAAGAGAGAAGGAAGAAATGGACTCTATTCAGAAAGCTAAAGCTGAGTTAGTTACTTAATGCCACTAATGATACCCATAACTTTTCGATTTTACACAAATTATTCACAATTTTTTTATCTGGTAGTTTAAAAGAGGAGCTAGTTCACCGCTATATCCATTCGACTGAAGCTCGCGACAGACTCGAGAAAGAATGGCAACAGCAAGCTGCACATAAGAAAATAAACGATCGAGAAGCAACTCGAATTCCTAGCCCAGATGAATTACTACTAACACAATGTGATAAATACACACGATGTTTACAATGTCAACGAAAGCCGACCAATAATGGTAAATCCAATTTCTTCAAGGACACGGTTTTCATGTCGGGTACTCGATACATAGTATAGAAATATAGAATAAATTTAATTGAATTAAATCACATTTGAATGGTTATGATTGGTTGGATCAGAAAGAAGAAATTTTAAATTGCATTAGAATCAGAAAAACCTGAATTTTGTATTTGTTATTGCAATCTTATTTATTATTCATTTATATTTTTAGAATAAAAATTTGTATACAGTACTTGTTATAACAAGCGCCAGTTTGATATTATTTCCATTCAACAAAATTCATTTTCATAATAGGTGCATAGCTATAGAAAGAGGCTAGACTGTAAGGGCAATATTAAAACCTATCTGTACCGATGATATTCTATTTTTTTAAGGATTTGATGAATTTTTGTAATGGACAATTTAATAAACCTTTGATACTGTGTTAGAAAAGAGTTTTGGTAGATAAATAAAAGAAGTATCGATACAGAATTGATAGAAAGGTGTAGAGAGTAAGTAAGAGCTTTAGAAAAATGTAAATTTTATTGTCGTTATTATTTAATTCAATGTTCTAACTTTAACCTGCAATGTCAGAAAATATAAAACATAACAAGAATGACTGCAGATAAATACTTCATGATCATATTTAGATGGTGTATGATTTTATGAAATGGCTGTTTTCGAATAATTCCTATATAATGCAAGGTTTTGTACTGTATAGTCAATGCTCTTAATTTTAGATTGTCCGCTATCACGAATAACTAATAAATATAAACAGATAGTCCTAATCAATAAACCTGATTATGTAATTTAAAATTTAACATTACGTCTCTTCAGAACAGTTACTCTTGATAAAATTGCCACAGAGCAACTTTCGTGATCGATCCCAAATTCGTCTATCTACTCTATTTGATCTCTGGTTAAACTCCGAGGATCCTTGACAAAAGCTAACTTATTCTAGTACTACTGTTACAAGCGTATTGATAGAAATTTAGGTTAAGGATTTTATTTATTTATGGCTAGTTAGTATACGCCAGTACCAGCGTATTATAAGTTACTCTCAGTGTAACTGAGGAGTAAGTAATAATTAAAATTTTATATAATTTCCCCATATTGAACACGGCTGCCTTAATAGTAGCCTCTTACAGTATAGTTATATGATAGTATGCCTTATATATGGGGCTATTACAGTCTAGAGCACCAAATTAAAAATAATTGTCGCTAATGAATATTAATTAGCAATGACGTATTGTTGTCCAGTCATCAAACACCACGAGATCCCCCTTTATTCTATACAAACCATACTGTAAAATTTAAAAAAATACTAATAGATATATAATAATCCAACCCAAGGGCGTTATTAATAGTATTTATTAATTACTATTTGGGGAAAATGTCTACTGCATAACAGTCCTCAATAATCATAATATTTTTAATTACCCAGTTAAGATTTACTATCAGCCAACAAAGACAGTAACAACAGCAACCGAGCCAGTTAAAATATGCTACTTTCTATAAAAAAGTCAAATTAATTATGGATAAAATAAATCAAAATTCAAAAGTTTTCTTTATCATTGTTATAGAAATATTGAATAAAACTGACTTGTAGTAAGACATGTTATCTTACTATAAATGATCTATGTTATTGAGTACAGGAATAAATAGATCAGAATATCAAATAGCATTATGTTAATGCGCTATTAAAAAGACATAAAATTAGTCACTATTATTACAAATCAATTGAACATCAATATTATCGTGATAATATAGCCTAATGTATTTTAATATAAATTAAAAGTCAAGTCAATAAAATTGGTAGGCTGTCAATAAAGCTTGGATATATCCGTGAAATCTTTTGATGCATTTGGTCATTCCACATCACGCAACCCTTAACTATGAATCGGAAATGGAGTTTTCCTTTTTTGAAAGTTTGATTTTAGATTATAATTAGAGCAACAAACTTCATTTCTAGTCTAAAAGCATAGCCCAGACTAGGTGTAAAATATTCAATACTCGCAAGCCTAACTACGGGAAGGAATATAAAAACTCTACGCCTTGAATTTTCAAATGATCTTAAATGATTATTATATCTAGGCTATCCATGATCAATCACCTTGCTGATTTTTAAAATTCAAGTCAATAGAATCCCGATATTTTCGGCGATATTCTTAACATTGAGGAACTAAATATGGTGTGGCACTATGGTACTTGGCAGTCACATTAGGTATATTTAATCATATTGGATAAATTAAGCGATAAAATAATGATATAATGATAGCCAATTTATTTGTAAAATGACCATAAAAATTCTCATTGGTCTTCTTGAATAATATGGATATAAAGGTTGGTCAAGTTATGAAATTCTTTGACCTGCGTGATAATTTACGGCCTTATAACAAATGAAATTAAGAAAATAAATCAAAGCGCAAATTCATCTGTGTTAATTCTACAAAGATCTAGCCTTGCTATATTGTCAAAGCCGGTATATTTATCGTAGCTGAGTGTTCAATAATATTTGGCAGATTACAGTAGAACTGGGCAGATTTACAGAAATTAATATAGTTGAGTTTACTTCAAATTCATGTCAATGATGATTCACGGTAGAATCATAGTTAATCAGCTTATTAGATTAGATTCTTAATTGGTAATCGTTACAAGTTGCCAGCTAGACTGGATGTTGTACTTAACAAAACCTAGGCATTATCTAACCAACCAGCAGTTTCTACGGTTGATTTACGAGTATTTGCAGATTCTAATACATTCTCAAGTAACCCTACTATTAAAATTGAAATTTCCATTTCTAAATTCACTTTTATACTCCAGACTTAGTTTTCCAGCACTTGTGCAGCTCATAAATACATCTAACCCAATCGGCAGTGTAGAAATATCCAAAGTTTTATGCTTACTGTATTAATTTTCAATTTACTAGTATAATTTAGGGCGTTGCGTTAGTGAGGAATCTGTAATATGCAAATATTGTAAATTTGCTGTAATATGGTAGCATGTGCTATATGTTACAAATTTGCGATATGTAGTATAAAAGTATGTGATTACTAGAAATAAAAGAGAGTTTTTTCGTGGTCAAACAAAAATTGTACTCGTTAATCTTGGTCTTACTCCAGCAATAGAAGAGCCTCGTGCCTAGTCCGCCCATATAAACTAGCAGATAACATAGTACAGTACATTAGTATTTCAGTTGTATAGAAATACAGAATAAAATTGAACTGAGTTAAATCCTATTCTGAGTAGATGTGATTAAATTAAATCACATTTGAATGGGTATGACTGGTTTATCCAGAAAGAAGAAATTTCAAATTTTATCGTAATGAAAAAATTTGAATTGGATATTAATTATTGCAATTTTATTTATCGCTCATTTATATTTTTAGAATGAAAATTTGGATACAGTACTCTACTTTTAATAACAAACGCTAATTTGATCTTGTCCACAATCAACAAAATTGGCTTTTATAATCAAATAGAGTTATTTTAGAAAAATGCTACACAAGTAAAGCAACATAAAATCCTATCTGCACCGATTATTTTTTTATAGCTTTGCAGAATTAATGGACACTTTAATATGCCTTTGGTACTGTATTACAAAGAGTGTTGGTAGGGAAAGTATGGTATCGATACAGAGTTCACTTAAGGTAAATACAGAGTAAATAAGAATTAAAAAAAACATAGCTTTTGTTGTAATTATTCACTTCAATGTTCTAACTTTAATTTACAATGCAAGAAAATATAATAACCTAACAATAATGACTGCAGATGAAATACTTTATAATCAATCATATTTAGATGGATTATGATTAAATGAAATGATTATTTACGAAATATTCCGATATAGAGCAAGGTTTTGTACTGTAAGGTCAACGCTCTTAATATCGGATTATCAATCATCATAACTCATAGTAGTAAATTGATGGTCCAGGATTAATAAACATGGTTATTCAATTTAAAATTTGACGTAATATCTTTTCAACAGTAACTCTTACTAAAGTCAGCTCTCGAGTTGAAATATTCTACTTTCTATAATTAAACCAATTCAGATTAATGCCGATAAAATAATTTAAATTAGATGCTTTCGATTATCTTTTTTGATATATTGGATAAAAACTGACTTGCTATAAGATATATTATCTTACTAGAAGACCATCAATGTTATTAATAAGGTATAAATAGAGAAGATATTTCGAGTAATATTCTGTTAATGCACTATTAAAAAGGCACGAAATCAATCTTTGTTATTATAAATCAATTCAGTATCAATATTATCATGATAATGTGATTGATCTGAATAGGAATATATAAAGTATTATTCCTGCTATTCTTGCCAGAAGTCTATTGTTTTCCTCGACAGTAAATGCTAATGACCCATTACGTCGAACAAGATGATAATAGACGCCAATTTGTGCTTAGCTCCGTAATCTCCATATGCCAACTTATCCATTTCTTGTTGATTGTATCAGCAATAAAAAATCGATAGGTAAATGCTAGAGATTTCATTAAAACAACACTTCAAAGCGATAAATCACAATAACCATTAGAATCTAAGTATAGAGAAATTTACGAATTTATGGTACTAATGCTTTAGTTTGGCCATAATGTCACAAGATTCTAACTTTGAAATTGTAACAGCTACTATCAATCAAATGAAATGGATCATTTCTATGGCTAAAGATGAAGGATGGAATCCCGGAGAAGATGATTTTGTATTTCAGTTAGCGGATCCCACTGGTTATTTTATTGGGCTATTAAATGGAGAACCAATTTGTTGTATATCTGCGACAAAATACAACATTCAAGCAGAAATGGGGTACTATGTTGTTAAAAAAGAACACCGTGGTTTAGGCTATGGTAGGGCTATCATGCAACATAGCTTGAAATACTTGAAAGGCTATAATATTTTAATTTATGCCTTACAACATAAAATTGGTACGTATGAAACTATAGGGTTTAAAAAACATGAGGCGATGATACGATATGCAGGAATTATAGCGAAAAAAGAGGTTATTAGTGATAATATTTATTCAGCTAGAGACATTCCTCTGGACAAAATTGTAGAATATGATGCACGTTATTTCGCAGAAGAAAGGAAAAAGTTCTTAAGTGCGTGGTTAATGATTGGAACAGCAAACAGTTTCGTATATAAAATAGGAGATAACATTCGAGGTTTGGGGGCAATACGAAAAGCTCAAGATGGCTATCGTATAGGACCTCTATATGCGGAAACACCGGATATCGCAATAACTTTATTTCATCGTCTTTGTCAAGACTACGAAAACTGTAAAATCACCGTTGAATGTCCTGCATCCAACGCCGATGCCAAAGAATTGGTGAAGAAGTTCAAGCTGGACAAAGTCTTTCAAGGTTCAACTATGTATTCGGGAGAGCTGCCTAAAGTTAATTTAAATCACATTTATGGCGTTATAACTCATTAAAGTCTACTAGTGTCGCTTATTTTGTTTGCAAAAATGTAAAAATATTTCTAGTTATAGCTTTCTATGCCTTCTTAATTCTAGTTAACACTGTACCCAATGGATGTAATACTTCATCTACATGATAAATAAAGGTTTCAGAATCTTTTTCGATTAGATTTGATTTCATGATATAAGTGTTTTCAAATGGTTCCAACCAGTAACGATATTGACTATGTGAATATAGTCAATACTGTTGCTATCGGATTGTGAAGCTATTTTGGATAATTTTATTACCGATAATATCTATCAGTGGGTGATTGATGATTCAGTAAATACGATTGTTTCATTCAAATTTGTTTTACACCTTCATTTTTGATATAAGGACTGAAAACTTACTTTTCAATGTATCAATTCAAATCACGGAGACTAGTCACACGTTTTTTTCTAACAACTAGATCGTGCGTAAGTATTCTTGCTATTTTTTAATGCTCATCGTCTTCCATTTTAGTGTCTATACTAAAATTCAACTGAATTGGAGCTACGTATTACTTGAGTGCAATGCAATATTTCTGTCGTTCTTAACCATTATATCTGTAGTGAGGCTGTTAGGCAAACTGTTGTTGTCAATTTGTTAAGTAGAATAACTCAGATATAGCTTAAAAACGATACTAAAATCTAAGGCTGTTGACTATAATAGGCATATATAAGTAATGTTGGTGATAAATCAAGTAGGACTTGCTATGAGATATTGTATCTTACTACAGGACGAGTCATGTGATTAAGTATAGGAAAATACAGATCAGATATATCGAGTAATATTATGTTAATGAGTTATCCAACAGAAACTCTGGATTGCTCTAAGAATTGAATCCTGGAGTAGACGATATTATAGTTTAGCTACCAGATTCTACAGGCTATTTTATTGGGCTATTAAAATAGAGAACCAGTTTATTGTATATTTTGAAAAATTACAGTTTTCAAGCAAAATGGAAGGATGCATATTCCACGTAACGAAATACATTTAAAGAAAATTCACAGTTAGATTCACTTGCTACATACGCTTCTTTGATATAATAAAGGCATATCATAAATTTTGTGAAAATTGCATATTAACGGCTAGAACTGCGATTACAATACTGAACAGAGAGTGTACATTGATCAGTAATAAAACACAATTTAGTATCAATATAATATCCTTGTAACACAACCTGTTCTACAAACTGTAATTAAAGTGTAGTTCACACAAGTAATTTTAGAATAGCAGATTTTATTACTGGTTCTCTATCGATTGAAATACTGTGTAGATAATAGTACAACAAGCTCAGACAGACAAGGAAAACTTTCTACAACAGCAGATCTTAGAAAAGAAGGACTAAGAACAACAATGACAGAAAAGTGTAGCTGCTTGTATATGTTATCTAACTTGTTTATAACATGATAATTGCGAAAAACATTAATTCAACACTTACAGAACTTAGTATAAGAATAAAATTATATGATTATGTTCTACGAAGCTGAAATCAACATACTTGCATTATCACAAACATTACTTATATATATACCTATTATTGTTAACAACCCTAGATTTTGGTATTATTTTATGTCTAATTCACTTCTACGTAACATGTTGACAACAATAGCTTGTCTAACAGCTTCTCTGCAATCCTGTGCTAGTTTTAGCCATTAATGCGAGCAAAACTGAATAATAAATTATTGTAAATGTCATCGGCAAGATGGTAGATAATGAGCTAATCTAAATTAACAAGGACCTTACGCCAAACTTCTTTTACAAGTCCATTAGTTCTCCAGCGATATGTATCAAACTACAAGATCTTTCAAGTTAACCAAATACTTTAAATATACGCTTATATGAAATCATGAATCAAATTCAATTACATCGGTTTCATTTAAACAGCGGCAATCGGTAGTATACGTATTGATAAAGTAACGTGTTGCCGCCGATGATAGCAACGGATTTAGCATTTTGTTGAGTAGGGAGAATGTTACCATGCGGCTGAGCATAGACTAGTCGGGGCAACTTGAAGAAGGCTGAACGTGTATGATCGATGCTTTTCAAAATAAGAAAACAAGTTACTCTAGTTTCTTGCAAACTTTATTACATCAATCTCACAATGTAATAAGATACATGTGGAATTATTCTCGTACATTATTGCACTCTTAATCTTAGCTACAGTATATCTGTAACATAAGTCGACAAGGCGATATTAATAACGCTAGTCGTCGTATACTGTTTCTTAAGATAAGTGGTACAATAATATACATGATAGACGTAGAATAGAGCTACAATGCGAAAAATCAAGCCATAAAATACCGCAACAAAACAAGTGAAATTTTGTAGAATCTATCCATTTTTGAGGAATTAATTGGTATTGATGGCGTCAGACAAATTTTATTTCAGTGTAATAGCCTAGTTAGGTAATATTGCACGAGATACAATTTTGGATGCATGGAGCTGTGGAAAAGTTATTTTGAGTTATGACCTTCAATGGCCGAATAACACGTAGCGTTTTATAGTACTGATTTCAAATTTTTAAAATCAGTAAAGCGATCCATCATTTGTAGCCTAGATATATCATAACCCCATTGTTGATTTTGAAAGTCCATAACAGCACCTATTCATCTCTAGTATAATCGCATAGTCATCTAAAATCGCACGAGATGTCTAATCTCGGCATTACTGTGGAATAGGCAGCTTGAGCTAGTACCAGCAATCAGCGATCGAATGAAAGAGTTGGATGACATTGACTCGAACATTCAAAATTAGCAAAGCGATTCATCATTTATGGCCTAGAGGTGTTATAATCCCTTTGCTGATTTTGAAAGCTCAATTCTATAATAGCACGTATTGATCTCTAGTGTAATCGCATAGTCATGTAATACCATATGAGCACCTATTAATTTGTAGCATAATCTCATAGTGATGTAGTATCCTACGAAATAAAATACTGTCTAATCTTGGCATTCCTTAGGAATAGGCAGCTTGAGCTAGTACCAGCAATCAATGATCGATTGAATGAGTTGGATGATATTGACTCTAACTTTCAAAATCAGCAAAGTCATTCATCATTTATAACTTAAAGATGTTCTAACCCCTTTGCTGATTTTGAAAGCTCAATTGCATAATAGCTGGTATTGGTCTCGAGTGTAATCGCATAGTCATGTCCTGTAATAGTATAGGAGATAAAATACTGTCTAATCTGTGCATTACTGTGGAATGGTTAGCTTGAGCTAGTACCAGCATTCAGCGATCAACTGAAAGAGTTGGATGATATATATTGACTCTAACGTTGAAAATCAGTAATTTATATATTATATATCAGTATATAAGGCATTACCAGCAATCAGCGATCATCTGAAAGAGTTGGATGATATTGACTGTAACTTTTAAAATCAGCATAGCCCACAGATGTTTTAACCCCTTTTACTGATTTTGGAAGCTCAATTGCTTAATAGCTCGTATTGATCTAGATCTAGTGTAATCGCATAGTTTTATACTACCATCAGAGATAAAATACTGTCTAATCTCGGCGTTACTGTGGCATAGGCAGCTTAAGCTAGTACCAGCATTGAACAATCAACTGAAAGAGTTGGATGATGTTGATTCTAGCGTTCAAAATCAGTAATTTCTATATTATATCTGCGTATATATATATATAGATATATATCATATAGAGAGAGATATAAATAGATATGTATATTACATATAATATATTATTATTATATATGAGTATATACATATACATATATATATATATATAGAGAGAGAGAGAGAGGGATAAATATTTATTATAGAACCGAACCGTTAGCAAGTCTAGTTGTAGGCATTTTGCCGATTTTGAAAGTTGCATTGCGCCAGAGGCTGCAGTCATCTGGAGTGTAATCGTCGAGCCATGAAGTACTGTATGAGATAGAATACTGTCCCATGAATAGCAAGCTGTCCAAAAGACGAGCGTTGCTTAGGTCAATCAGAAATTTCCATATTATATCTTAGCATATATATATAGATATATATCTATATAAATCGATATATATCATGTTAGCAAGTCTAGTTGTAGGCATTTTGCTGATTTTGAAAGTTGGATGACACCAGAGGCTGCAGTCATCTCCAGTGTAATCGTCGAGCCATGCAGTACTGTATGAGATAGAATACTGTCCCATGAATAGCAAGCTGTCCAAAAGACGAGCGTTGCTTAGGTCAATCAGAAATTTCTATATTATATCTTAGCATATCTATAGAGATATATATCTATATAAATCGATATATATCATATAGAGAGAGATGTAAATAGATATGTATATATATTATATATGAGTATATATACATATATATATATATAGAGAGAGAGAGAAAGAGAGGATAAATTTCTATTATAGAACCGAACCGTTAGCAAGTCTAGTTGTTGGCACTTTGCTGATTTTGAAAATTGGATGGCACCAGAGGCTGCAGTCATCTCCAGTGTAATCGTTGAGCCATGCAGAGATAGAATAGGAGATAGAATATGAGTAGCAAGCTGTCCAAAAAGACGAGCGTTGCTCAGGTCAAATCCAATCATAGCTTATTCACTGATAGGATTTGACTGGAAAATAGAGTCATGTATACTACAGTAGATAGTCATTTGGAGGAGGATCGAGCCTCGCGTAGGCCAAATCCAGTACTTTCAAGATCTGATAGTAAACACTATAGCACGTTCCATACTATACTTGAATGTCTATAGACAATCCAGTCGACACCAGTCAGTCCATTCAAATCCACACCAGCCGCTGTCGTCTAGCCAATCAGAGATCAGCTGCCAATCTGCTGTCTGACGATCGACTAGTATGTATCAAACATCGACGTGGTTGCATACACATTCCAGTTAAATTAGGCCACAAAAATAAGCTTGTATAAAAATCTCCAAATGATCCATTGATCGCACTAGACTGCTAACGAAAATCTTCTCCATTAGCGGCCTTGGCAGGCGTTCTTCTTGCTCATTTTCACTTCATTTGTGGCATTTTTGCCTTGTTTTACTTATTGTAGGAGAGCGATACAATCCGATTGGTATTAAGAAAGCATTGAGTCATCTTTTTCAACTCATTTGGACTCTATGTACCCTGTAGGATTGAGTTGATTGAGAAGTGAAGAGGAAATTAACCCTTGAAAGGCAACAACAACAACAACAACAACCTTCGACATCGGCAAGCGTTGTAGGTTGAAAATGGATCCTGAATTTAAGAATCGTCTTGAAAAGAAACGCCGTAAAGTCCAAGATACCTTTGAATTTGAAGGATGTAAAGTTGGACGGGGTACTTATGGCCATGTTTATAAGGCCAAGATGAAAAGCAGGTAAACATGAAGACGATGCAATCGTCCTATCCTATAGCCAACCAATTTTCCTTCCATGGCTACTTTCTCCGTTCATAGTCGATACATTCCGTCAATAATAAATAATAATAATAATAATAATTAAAAAAGAGCGCTTAAAAAAAGGACGGTCGATAGCATGATTTTAAAGTGTATCCATCTACCGTGCTTATTCCATCGGTATGATGCCAACAAAAGAGTCTTTTTCTTGCTGACAAGGAAGGAGTTTTTTCCAACGAGTTGCACAGTGTTGAAGATCCAATCGCTTGACATTGATAGCATGTTGTGACCAATAAATGTAATTTCTTTTTTATCGGATGGATAGTGGCAAGGAATATGCCTTGAAATTAATCGAAGGAAGTGGTATTTCCATGTCGGCCTGCCGTGAAATTGCTGTAAGTCATGACAACGTTGAATCATACTTTGAAAACCGACCGTAGTCAATTTAATTTGTATTAGTAATGCATGACTTCAAGCATGATGCTGTTAACCAAGTTGTCATCTCGACTATTTCTTCCTTTTCTATTACATCCTTAGTTATTGCGAGAAGTCCATCATCCCAACGTCATCTCATTACAAGGAGTATTTCTAACTCATACCAATCGAAAAGTTTGGTTACTATTCGATTTTGCCGAGCATGATTTATGGGTAAGACAGGATGAACTAATCGAGTAGAGCCCAGGATAGCATAGCTCTTTCTACGATCATGTAATCGTTCTAGTTTGTCAAGAGCCATCTACGAAGGCCCAACGACAGTGCCTGCATGCAAATTTCGACTCGTTCTAGTCTAAAATACCCCAGATAAATACTTAACCATAATCTAGAATTCACTAGTCGAATCCACAAGCAATTTTATGCATGACCTACATTCATCGCAAACAAATATTATGCCTGACCAAGACAGTCATGATCTTTTGCTAATTTTTCATCCTATCTTTGACGTCCTGTTGCAATCCATCTTGCCACTGTCATTTATCATCTTCCTCATGAATATTCCGTTAATGCTTGTAATAGTATTTGTTATCATTGACAGCGACCAAAGTATCCCTTTTTCGTTACATTCCTCGCTTCTAGTCATACCAAAAGTTTTCCATCGCTTTATTTGCTTCTAGGAATGCCCAGCTTTCCTTGACTAAATTGTAACAAATGAAGTAAAGAATACCAAACGTTGCTTCCCTTATTTTATAGGATTCTAAAAACTCGATCAATTGTGACTACATTCCAAACAGGAACTCATTTTATTACCATCATTAAATCAGCTGCAATAGCAATAACTGCTCACCTTGTCCTTGAATTAGTTCGGGCGCCATTTAATAACCAAGATTGTGACCACGTTACGTTCCACATAGTCAGTGATTGCATCCATCAAAGACCTACAGAGGCAATTAACGTCCTTAGTCGTATCATCCATTTCATTTGGAAATGAAATGGATGAATCTTCAAGTTCACAAACTAATCCTTGTGTCATGACATTCCATGAGTAAGCATACTTGTTAACTAGTAACTTGCACAGTTGTTGCAAAAGTATCTTAGCATAATAGATGCTGTAATCGTTGTTGATGAACGCTCTAGTAAAAATGCCTTAATTCGGTTAGACGCTAATCTCCAAAGAAATGTGTAGAAATGGATTATCTTCTCCACTGAATATTGTATTAATATTACTTGTCTTTATTTGTCATGATGTATAGCACATCATCAAATATCATCGATCGAAAGCAGGTGATAAAGCAATCTCTCTCGATTCCAAAATGGTCAAATCTTTACTAAAGCAGATTTTAGAAGGGATACACTATTTACATGCCAATTGGATTTTACATCGTGATTTGGTAAGTTTGCTATAGTACGGCATAGGAAATCAATTCGTTCACAACGATGCTCTTTCTGTAACATAATATTCGATTGCATTGAAATAAGAAACCGGCCAATATTCTCGTCATGGGCGAAGGACCAGAAAGAGGAAGAGTCAAAATTGGTAATAAAGTGGAACTTATCAAGTACTTTGTACCAGTAAATTGTCTTTCTCAGCCTTGTTTTAATAACTACTGTCCGTATTGATCATAACAGCCGACATGGGATTTGCAAGACATTACTGGTCGCCTTTGAAACCCCTTGCCGAGCTAGATCCAGTCGTAGTGACATCTTGGTATCGAGCTCCTGAATTACTCCTGGGTGCAAGGCATTATACTAAAGCAATCGGTAAATTGATATAGCAGGTTTTGAGCTCTCTAATTATAATCAGTAACTAGCTATTCATTAAAAGTTGATAATTGCATCGTAATACTGCTCACGCTACTCATCATAAATTGATTTCATAATCTGTTGTTCATTTTCTTCAACGACTGCAACCACTGTTAATGCGCTTACCTTTGAAATAGTTCTTATCGATTGCTTCCAATATCATTCACTTCCATTATCATATTCTTTTGTAGACATTTGGGCTATAGGCTGTATTTTTGCTGAATTGCTTACTTCAGAGCCGATTTTTCATTGTCGACAAGAGGATTTTAAAACGAGCAACCCTTATCATCGCGATCAATTGGAAAGAATCTTTATGGTCATGGGATATCCGCATGGTATAACTTTTAAAATTGTTCTGAATTAAAATCAAAACAAATTTGCCATGTAGCTATGTTTTTGAGTTGTGCTTATCCATGCATTAAATAACTATAGAAAAGGATTGGGAAGATATAAAAAAGACACCAAACTATGCTAAATTAGCGTCTGACTTTAGAAAAATTTCGTATGTCTAAAATCGATAGAATTCGAAATGAATAATTGTTGATATTGATTCTATGGTCCTTCTAATGCCTATTGCTATTTTCAAATTAAGGACGTACACAAATTGTAGTTTGGCAAAATACATGGATAAATTTAAGATTAAGCAAGACAGTAAAGAATTTATACTGGTTAGTTCATCCTATTCTATATTTTGTTTAGCCATATCTGGCTGATTATGAGATGTTTTGTCAACAATTTTCTCTCCCATAGCTTCAAAAATGCCTAACAATTGATCCAAATAAGAGAATATCGTCTGAACAAGCCATTGATGATGCATACTTTCGCGAAGAACCACTACCAACGGAAGAGTAAGTATAGTGACTAATTGGTAAATTTCTACTGCGTTCAAAACAGTTGATGTTGTCGAATTGGCTATAGCGTATTTGATCACAAAACAATTCCATATCCGAAAAGAGAATTCCTAAATGAGGATGACAATGAAGACAAGGGTGATAAGCATAAGGTATATTGCGATGGCGTAGATTATATATATTAAACACTTTATGACATATCAGCGGTTGGTTGTGAAATAGAAATGATTTGTTATACAAGCATAAGGATGTCTTTATTACTGTGACTTAAAGTTAATTTTATGGAAATGTAATATCCTATTCCCAGATAATCTTCATTATACGTTCCTGTTTATTCATAGAATAAAAAGATGGAAGCTACCACTACTCATAATGTTAACATGGATAACATGATCCATAACAGGTCGCATCAACAACAACGAATGAATAACGCCTATTCTGCAAAGCGTGCGCTGCCAACAAATCCAGTGGCAAATTACCAGCGGCAGCAAGCAACTCATATGGCTGTTACCGCTAATAAAGGGAATTATAGTTCAGGTAGCAGTTTACTTCAACTGTTATTAGCATCAAATTACTATAAGTTCTTAAGTGTCAATCACTTATTACTCACCTTGACCCGTGATATTATCGGACTTATTTTCATGTCTAGTTTAATTTACTTTTTCATTTTTCCTATATGGATACTTATACTAAAGATAAATATAACGTCATTGTAATTGACTTGGTAGTGAATAATATCATTTCTTATTCGAGCGTGGTATTGTGCAGTAATTAGAAATTGTAAACAATTTTTTAATTATAGCTAACAAAAATAACAAGATGTTTAATGACTGCAAAAAGATGAAGGGGTATGCGAAATAACATCCATGTCGAACTAATTTCAATCGAACGCGTAAAAGACACTTTATTCTATGACATAACTTTATTGGAGCTCTGCTTCAAGTTGTGTATACTACTATTTCGAGTAGTTGTAATTTTGATGTAAATGCAAGGCATAGTTGCTCCGGATTGCCTTTACAGTAACAAGATTAATCAGAAATTCTGCCTCGTATAGAATAAGCTATCCAATTTTTCAGGTCCTCAATAACATTGTATAAATTTACTGAATCTGCAATCCAATATGTTATAAATGGACTATAAGCTTTGTGTACAAATAGTCGTTTACCTTTTAGTATTAGCAAAACGATATTATGAATGACAAGGTAAGCGTAGTTGCGCCAAGGATAAACCTGTGAATACGGTGTAAATGGATTATGAGACCTCTTTGATAGCAAAATTAGGATCCCTCATTTATTGTATTATAAGTAATCTGTCTGGTATATATGTAATAATACTGTCTAATTGGCGCTCCTAAATATGTCATGTGTTTAAAGTATTCCAATAAGCGATACGAAATGAGTCAGTATCGTATTTCGTATTGTAAGCGAACAACTGCAATACTTTGTGCTCAATATCGACTGGTCATTGGCGGATATCCTGCAATACCTTAATCAAAATTATAATGGTAGACATGACTGACATTAGCCAACTGCACTGATCATGTTAGATTGCCTTCTCTATAATTTTAATGAAGTCAGTGTCGTTAGTTTGTAAATATTTGCTGTTAAATGATGCTTTATTGCGTTGGTACGTATCAAGCAAACGGTACATGCACAGTTTTAGGAATTCTCTACTAGAATCCTGATGGTGTTAATATTCTTCATCCTTAGCCTCATTGAAAAATATCCTATACACCTTTGACTGAAATAAAATTATAATTGCGAATTGAATTGCTATTTGCTGTAATGCAAGATGTGTGTTTAGGTCGCACATATCGGCTAAATTATCATCGTTTATTCTTTATTGGATAATTAGCTGTGCAATCTAATTTCTAAAGATAGCAAAATCTTTTTAGCAATGATAGTTGGCAGAGTAGAAAAACTTGACCTAATCAATAACTCGTTACTTATGGTTACGGTAGATATAGATCGAAAGAGTACTTTAATTTGAAGATTGATCGTTTACTTCAGTATTAATAAAAAACATCTCGATTCAAACGAAAATAACGTTACGATATATAGTTTCATTGCGAGTAACGTAATCGCAAATATGAAATAGTCTAAATTGTTAGCCAATACCATCTGCTTAGAGGCTTAAGTAAATCTATACAATGTACTTTTAAAGCAATAAGAAGAATCTTAAAATCCAACCGCAAGTTGTATATGTAATTTAATAAATGAGGTATATGAGATACTTGTACTCTAATTGTAACAAATGCTATCTAATGGATAGAGATAACGTATGCTTTGTATTTAAAGCTAAACATTATTAAACATATTCCGGGTAAAATTGCGCATTATTAATTAACTATAAATTCTAAATGGTCTACGGCTGTATCACGTTAAATTAGCAAGATGTGCGATGGCCTTACAGCGTAATATTGTTATGACGGAGTTTTAGCAGTATTCGAATTAATGGCATAGTCTTATAAATACTGTTAGCCAATACTATATGCTTAGGGGACTAAGCTCATTGGTGCAGTGCACTTTCAATGGCATTGAAAGAATCCCCAAAGTCAATGCCAAATTGTATATCTTACTAGCTATCAAATAATTATCGAATGTTTGTGAGTAAAATCTAAATGCTAATTATATGAGACACTTGTACTCCAACTATAGCAATACGATGGAAAGCAAAGTAGCGATAGCGCATGATTTTACTTAAAGCTAACGTTATGAATTTTACTCGAGGTCAAATTGTATATTAGTCATTCTAAATTCTAAAAAGCCTACAGCTGCAGTACATGAAAACCAGCACGAGATACTGTGCGGTATAATAACATTACAACTAAATATTGCCATGACGTAATTTTAAACAGAGTCCTAATTAATGACCTAAATAATTCCATATGTTTTCCTGGACAGTTTTGATATTGGACGCCTTCTATTATATATGGTAAGTCAACTCAATCCGTAGTCGGCAGTAATACAGGTTTTAAAAGTCGTTCTACAGATAGTATATATATATAGTCTTTCCACTTAGCAAGAGAGAGTCATTTTATTCCTTCATTAAGCTCCATTTTAACGAAATAATACAAGTCCACTCGTTATTATTATATTAAAATGAATTCAAAGGCAGTCAGTATGAGTATAACATTAACAATCTTTCTAACAGGAACTTTTTGTTTCCCTACAGCAATAGGTGAGAATGAGAATTCAGTAATCCTGTAGAAATACGCTATCCAAATTGGAATGCTGTTAAGAATGCCATATAAGGTTGATAATGACGACGCATTAATAATCTGCTTGGAATTTCTTTTTAGCTCAATGCGATATCGCATTAAATTTCACCAAAGGAGAATTTCACTCCATTGATTATCCTCAACATTATCCTGCTAAAAAATGTTCTTATACTATTCAAGCTCCTTCCGGTTATCATATTATATTGAATTGGCAAAGTTTTCACGTAGGATTGCCGAAGCAAAATGATCGCTGCCCCAGCGATGAAGTTGCAGTTTATAATGGCCGAATTAGTTTACACCAAGGCCGAGTAACAATGTGCGGCTATGATGGAGAAAGTGTTACATCAAGTGGAAATATTTTAACAGTGGTTTTATCTGGCTACAGCAATCGAAGGTATACAGGATTTCTGGCTAAATATTTCATAGGTAAGTTATTTTAATCCTCATAACGATATACACACTTGTAAGTATTTGGCCTTTCATTTCGTTTTGGAAGCATTGATGATTGCTTTGAAACAAAGACTGAGTATATTTAAGTTCATTTACATTTAATATTTCTAATATACGTATCAATGCAGAAGGGTGTGGGGTTTTTCGTATGGATTTTCTGTATTGTGAGCTGTACCCCTCTCGTTTTACAAGATACTGGAAATTTAACAAATCAGATATATTTTATAAAACGGCTATTCTATAAGCTACACATACTGGTATATACGACTACAGAATTTTTAGAGTTACATCACATAAATTGATGAACAATTTTGCGAAATGTAGCCATAATTAGCTAGAAACTGTGAGAATTACATTAATTCAAATTGTTCGACTTTCTAATGGTTGTTGTTATAGTCAATGAACCAAATATAAGGCCATTGAATATGTGATAGCTATCAGTACTTGATCTGAACCTTAATAGCAATGGCAATCCTTTCAGTATAACAGTCTCTATTTATCCATTTATGAATGATTTTTAAGTTACTATTTAATTATCTTCTCTGACAAATTAACAAGAGCTTCATGAACAAATTCCAGAAATGATTTCGGCCATGCTCTATAGTAAATCCGGCCTTCAGTAAAATGATATTACTAATCTTCTTAGTATGCAATTTCTAAGAAGATTCAGCTTAACTTTTCCCTTAAACATAACCACAATTGAAATAGTATTGCATAGATAGATAATAATTATTAGACTGCATTACATAGTTTAAATCGGTAACAATAAAGCGGATAATGCCGATCTGGTCTATTATGACTATCCCTTGCTTCACTGCTTTGGGTTATTTACACAGAGTAGTTTATAAATAATAATTGAGATTTACAGAGCCTCGTACATAATTGAAATATTTGTAATGAAGCGTCGGTTCGTTATATATTACAGGTACCGTAATCTCCTAATTAACAGTATTTACTATAGCAATATACGGTAGCAATTTAGGCGTAATAATTTCAGTATTTGCTAAACTGCATATCAACTTAATTCGGGTTTCAGTTAGCCTAAGCAAGATTTAGTACAAATTCGAGGATAATACAAATACTGTACTAAATTTCGAATTGTTTTTTTTAACTTTATTTCAGAACGCATTAAATGTGCTAGTATGACCATAACAACAGATATTGGAATGCTTTCTGGCCCGCTAGCTTATCCTTGGGATTGCCTATATACGATACAGCTGGCTTCAAATCGAAATGTTAACTTTGAGTTATTGCATCATAACGTTTCATTGCGATCTAGCCAGTCCGCCTGCCTATCTTACGTTGCACTATACATTAACAATTTCACACCCAAGAACGAAATCTATCAGTTTTGCTTTGATCATATGTTTCCTCCTATGTATTCTTCGAGTTCCAATATCGCATTTGTACGATTTCGTAGTAAGGAGCAGCAAAATCCATTCTACGGGCTAACGGTTTTATATCGTTCACGTAAGTTGAAAGTTCAATTGCAGCAAAAGGTGCCATATTTACTCTCTAGTATTGTACGTATATAATATGCATAATTTTGAAGTTATAACTACAGGAATTTTTCAATAATTCAATTTCATTGGCTATTAAATGAGATATAGAATAAAGTATAAAAGTAAAATTCTGATACATTTGTACAAGCAAAACCTCACAGCTATAGAAATTTAGTACAGTGTATTTTATTGAATTATTTATTTAAAGCTCAAAATGACATTTTCTTGTGCGTTGCTATTATTACTAGCTCTACACTTTGATAGCATAATCCACTAATTATTGCTATTGCTTTTGTAGATTTTGTTACTCATTCTTCTCCTACAAAAAAAACATCGGTGCCAGAACATAACATAGCTGTTAGAATTGTCTTAATCATAGCTATAGCATCAGTAGCATTGACCGCTATTTGCTGCTCTGGATATCATGGGCGAAAATACTACAACAGACGTATTGAAAATCCTGAAGAAGTAGAGCCACTACAGCAATGAGTGACAATAGCTATAGCTCTAGAGATGCGAGAAATTTTAACAATAAAGAAAGGCATATCAAAAATTTCTATCGACGAACTTATGGCAATATATCATGATTCGGAAATTGACTAATGAGTAAAAATTTTTCATATAATAATGGCATATCACTTATGATGGTTTGCCGATCGAACTGATGGAGATTATACTCTATAAAACAATACGGGTTTGCCTTCATTATCTTTATAATATCATTTTTGGTTTGGTAGTAATCATGTAAATGCTACCGTTAATTACTGACAGATTGAGTCGCTTGCTGCACTTCACGATAGGCCCATTTGGAAATATTTAAATTCTAGATTTAATAAAACTAGACTACTATATGCATACTAAATAGTAAGCTTATTAGTAATACAAGTACTAATCTTGGTACTATTTGAGCTGTATATGTAGTTTATAACAAGAATTATAGGCATGAGATTTTTCCCCAAACATAATAATTTATAAAATTATGGCTGAATTATATTATCCGAACACAATTAAGTTAAGATATCTAGTACTTATTAAAAGATATGAAAACCCTTTAGACTGTCATCAATTACTATGCCGGGTCTGAAAGTACAATAATATTGCGAATTTTTTTGTCTATCAACGGTAATTAAACTCGGCAAGTAGATGATACTAAATTTTGCTAGCATATTGTAATACTACTTACGGATAATTCTATAAATTTAAACTTATAGTACTCTTTAAAATTTTCGACGGTAATTTTTAAACATGCAGATAAAGTAATATCATATTATAGAAAATAATTAATATCTAATATTTACCAGAATGCTTATATATGCACCTTATTTATTTATCTTATAAAACTAATCGTTGATGAAACATATAATAAATTAATCTAAAGTAAAAGCACCTGGGTTATTCCAGAAGAACTAATAGACAAATTATATACTAAATTTTAAAGAAATCTTTATTATAGGATTAGAATAGTATGCCTTTAAGCATTATGTTAGATATTAATTACAGTTTTTATTCGACAATGTATAGATTAGTATAACTACGCTTTAATTTATAGCATTTATAATACTGTAGTTTCTTAATTGTGTTATTTATAAACTCACTACTATATATTCTTATAGAGGGCAGATTGATAACTTGGAACACCAAAATTTATACTAGCTCTATACAAAATACATATAAAAATTTTTAAGAGCACTCATTCTCGTTTTACTACTGTTATACCTTAACATTGATAGTGATACATAAAATTTATTCGTAATTTTTATATGTAAAAATATTGACCAAATAGAATCGAATAATTGCAATAGTAACTCATAGTGAGATAGCTCAATATTTTGCATAACCTGTTACTTCAGTGATGTCATAGAGTGAACTATTTATAACTTTACATTCGTATTGTTTGTTTGCATACCTTTATTAAATCCAATAAAAGCTTTGAAAAAATTAAAATATATCGGCATGACAACGTTGAACGTAATCTGCGTTACTTGTATCCTATTAATTCAGGTCGAAAGAATGTGTTATATATCTGCTACTTATATTCAAGGAGGCCTTTTTCCTTCCTTTACCTTAAGGTGAGTTAATTCTGTTTGGGATTACGTTACTTCTGGACGTGCATGCGCATTCATTTCCGGTTCCTAGCTATATTATAATAATGCCGTATCATACCTATAGCAGCCTATAACTAACTAAAGTTTGTAACGAAAAAACTAAAACTGCGAGCTTACTAGTAATGATATTCAACTACTTTCAATCCACTATCATTAGAGGGCTGCAGTACCTGCACATCTCCCTTTTACTATTAGCTAATCAACGAAAGTAGATTAAATACCAAGCAGTCTATTGCCACATGAATATCAATTAAGATTGCGTACGTAACGTTACAAACAGATACACTTATGTCATAAAAATATCTATTTAATACTCTAAAAATATAATAATTAACATTAAATTTCTAGTTGTCAAGTGATAATTATGTTACTGCTAGTTAGCGCAAGTTACACCTTAGGACAGAAATAAATATTATCTCACTTTGTCGACATAACTTTATGTCGCTTTTTAAAGGTTGCTTAAATTGCTTTAATTACATGTACTGCATTTAGAAAACTCTGTATCAGATTTTTTACCCTATTAGCTTAATCTTTACCTATCACCTATTCATTCACTACGGTACCCTTTTCTGCTTTTGAATTTAATTTTGAAGACATGAGAATGATTTAAAATACTAAGATCAGATGAAAGTAGCTTATAAATTTTCTGATGCTGCAATATAATTACATTTCCTAACACTAATTAGGCGATTTTATTTATGTTTTAGAAGCAGATATCGAAAATGAAGGTTGTCTTATTAACATTATTGTTCTTTATTACCATTGCCACGACCGTTCAGGGTGAGTTTTATAATTAAATAATCTCAATTAACCATTTTCTTTATTTTATTCTCAGTTACTCTAAGTTACAACTAATTAAAGACCGACAACCTTTGTATAGCGTTAGGACTAGCGTCATTTATTTATGGACTTTTCTCTCAGTCCGTTGTAGCTATGTTCTGTTTAATTTAATCATCGGTGTTTGAGTAACCTTTTATTTCAATTCTTAATAGCAAGTTGCAATATCACACTAACATCAAGGAGTGGCAGTTTTAAAAGCCCATATTATCCTCAAATGTATAATCGCACATATTGTTACTACTCCATTTTCGTTCCCAGTGGCTACATAATTCGATTACATTGGCAGACATTTGATGTTGGCACACCTCAGACTTTCAGCAAATGTCATGGCGATAAAGTAACAGTTTATAATGGATACAAAAGACCAGGTACTAAGAAAGTGGAGCTGTGTGGTCAAAAGAAAAAGTCTTTTTCTTCAACATCCAATCGTCTTACGGTTGTGTTCGATGGACGCACTAGTCGCAAATATCGAGGCTTCTATGCAGTTTATGATACAAGTAAGTCTTCCTCTCTTCATCATCAACAAAATTAATAGAAATTATACTTAACAATTTTAATTAAAACAAGGTAACACAAATTATACTATTTGTTCTGTCCTTGTAGTAACCCCTATCGTAATGAGCAGCTACTAATTAAACTTATTCCAACAATTTAACTATATAGCTGTTATTTAGAATTTGACTTTCTTTGCAAGTAAAACTTTTTGGTATGATATTCGGCTTGGATTTTAATTGTAATAGAATTAATGCGTACTTTAGATACCCCGATGGCACGGTATGATTTTAAAATGATAGATTATTTTTTAAATTAGCAGCCAACCAATTTACTATATATTGGCCAACTGCAGCAGGACAAATTCATTATTAACTACCGTACCTACGCAAAGATTTCATTGAAGCACAAATCTAACAGCACGTATTAATTTCGATGGATCTTAATCTCAAAGAGCAAATACAATTGATCGTTCTTGGACCATCTTTAGAGAACGACATTGCATCTAATACCTGATAGTAACAATTAAATTGATGCCTTACTTTCCTATTTGATAGATTAATATCAAACTATAAAATCTTCCTGCTAACGACTGAGGGTCGACATTAAAGCCGAGTATTAAATAACAGTAACTTGCAATTATGGCTAAATTTTAAGATCGATGTCTAGCTTGTACTTATGTAGTAGGATAGATAGAATAACAAGGTAGCTTCCATTAATAATAATATAGAAATGCTAAGTTGTAATAGCATTTGCTTATATTACACAAACTAGATTTATATGGCTGCAATGCATGCTGAACTTGTTGATTGAATAGACAGAAATAGCTAAACTCTTAATTATTATCCGGCTAAAGAATTTTATCGCTTATATTAAGCTTTACCATCAATCACCGGCACTCCGAAGAGACCTGTTACTCCTTCTCGTGTGAGTACCTCCTCTTATATCTCCAAGACAGTAATTTTCAAAAATTCAACTTGTACCCGCTATCAATGGTACCATAATACACCACAAGGAAAAGTCCCCTACAAAACAACGATTACTTGTACGAAAGGTAAATTTTATTCTTTGCTTCTTAACTTAGTCAATCACAAGGACGCATTCAATTGCTATTCAAAGATACAATTCTGCAGTGACTACAGGATTAAAATTGGCTAAAATTTCCTGGTACTGTTACGGTTAATTGGATTAAATTATAAATTCTAGTTTTTCAAAATCAATTTTCTCAGTATACTTATAATCAAGCTTACTCAGTTAGTAAAAACTTTTAAATGTTACGTATAGCTACAGGATAAGCAATTAGTACCTTTGATAAACTTGAATAACATTCAGACCGATGATATTTCAATCAGAATATGGACGATTTAAAGTAATAACAGTCATCGTACGATATAGTTGCACCCTTTACAACGTTTTGTTCGTCGTTTTAAGTACAAATTTGTTACCTGCGCGAGTTGCATCTTCAGCAAATTTCCATACAAAGCAAAACTATACTCAGATTCTACTGGTTGCGATATTAGTGTTAACGCTTTCTTACTATTTGTAATTATTTTTGTGCTACATGATTTCTATTATAGGTGTGAGCGTGGTTACCATTATTGCTGTATCGGTTAGTATTTTCATTTGTGCAATAATTGCAGGAATTTTTTACACTATTAAAAGACGACGAGGACCTCATTTTGTTAGGCTATAAAGCGAGTGGACCACATCAGCACATAAAATTTGCTGGAATACACAACATCCTTATATACAGTTGTTTCCAATTAGCGGTAACAATTACGAATATGATTATGTTATTAGTGCAAAAGATGCGCCGGTTTTAGTGTCGTAGGAAACTACAGCGATCGCAGCATTTCGTTCTTATTCGGAGTCTTGTTAATTAATAATAGATGTTATTCGTAATTCTCGTTTACAATCTTCGGCTTCTACAGTATACATACTAAGAATATAAGTATTGAAAGCAATGTAATAGCGATTGTCTATTAACTTGAAGTACTAGTCTGCATTTGGGTAGGTTTTAGATAATGAAAATTCAGAAATTACTGTATCCCGTAGAATTTCGTTCTAATGAGTTTACTAAGTTTAGTAAGTGGATCGATGTTATTCATAACTATTAATTGCGATCTTTGGATTTGTAAACAAAGTTAGAATACAAGTAGTTAAAACAAGACAATTCGCAACAGCAGAGATTTATGTTAACGAAAACCATGCAATAAACTATTTTATTCCAAATCGTCTGTGATTAGAATTTGTTGGAGAATTCCAAAAAAGCAGATTTATTACAACATATTTGATAAATATCGATAGCAATATGTTTTATATCTCCAAAATTAGCGTAGAACTATGCAAACCGAAGCGTACACGTAGTTAAAGTAATGCAAGAGAGGTTTTTGTGAGCGAAAAACCAATAATAAACTGCTTGCATTCAGTATCGTTAGTGATTAAAATTTGTTGAAGAATGCAAAAGAAGCAGATTTATGGCTCCTTATTTAGACAATATCAATAGCAATAGTAATCATAACCTCAAAATCAGTCTAGAACATTGTGAACTTAAGGGATACAAATAGTTAAAGCAACGCAACAGATATTATCTTCTTTGTAGTGGAGATTATAACCTGCTGTTAGTGATGTTTGTTTACGATAGACTTGAAAATACAGTAACCACAGAATTTCCGTCTTATACTTAGTCTAGTACGTGAATCGATGTTGATCATAACTTTTATATGTGATTTGCAGCTTTTAAACAAGGTAAGTAGATGACCAGTTATAGCAACGCTGCAGAAATTGTCCCCTTGCATTTGATAGTCTGCAACTGGAGAAGTTTATATTAACGAGAATCCCGTAATAAACCATTTATTTCGAATTATTTGTGATTTCAATTTGTTGGAGATTCCAAAGAAGCACATTCATAACACCTCGTTTAGGCAATATAAACAGCTATATGCTTAACATCATAATAATCAGTCTTGAACATTGTAAGTATTAAGAATTGCTCCTTGGCGAGTAATATGCATTAATACATGTACTTCTCAACTCTCATGTGAAGACAAGAAGTGATTTTACTGAAGTTGTACCCGACTTTATATAACATATCTACGCATACCATAGCCGTATGATACTCCCACATTGTACAGTAATCTATTCCATAAAGATAAATGCATCATAAACATCATAAAGTCATATTACAATTTCAACGATTGCTGGTAACATAGCTTTATTGCTTGTTACTCTACACATTTTACAACTACTGACGTAACAGCAAGTGAAAGCAAATAAGTAATTAAAGCGACAAAATAGAGATTGTCTTCTTTGTGCTTGGAATGATAGTCTGCAAATGGAAAGGTTCTTGTCAACAAGTAGGCTGTAACAAAGTGTTTTATTCTGAATTGTTTGCGATTAGAATTTGTTGAAAAATTCCGAAGAAGCAGATTTACATTGCCCCATTTGGTTAATACTAATAGTAATGTGTTTCATAGCTTTTTCTCTCCCAAATTTTGAATAATCTCAAACAAGTGTATCACTTATAGTAACGTAACCGAACAATAATAGTAGCCCATTAATTTGCTTATCTACATTAATGCCCATGCCATTCGATAAAATGAATTATACAAGCTCCAGAGTATGATTACAATTAACGCGGCTATCACAGATATACAACTTTCATCTTGCAGTAGTCAGCAATCCATCAAGAATGATATATGCACAAATGCATGCATGAATGGAATGATCGCTGCTATTTCACAGGCATGCAACTATTAAAGTATTAGTTAAACAATCCATAACCATCATCAAATAGAGCTTCCTTGGAATGATAACAATTCTATCCCCAATAATTATGACAAGCATGATGAATTGATGATGTCAGTGAGAGAATGCGCAGAATAATCTTTTCATCAAATAGAAAAAATAAATCTGTGGTTGGCATTCTAGTGGATATATGATCTTTGTTAAAGAGCTCAACAGGACTTAATTTTAGCGATTCATATGTTAATTAATGCTTGCCACATTGATCAGTAACGTCGTTATTATTACCCTATTGACAGTTATTAACGAAGGCTATACAGTAGATTCATTAAAGGAAAAGAAAAATTGCCGTCATTCTATTCAAGAAGCTCTCTATTAAGGCTAGGAAGGATAGTTAACGGAACTTTTTATCTAAGTTATCAGGAAATTTCGTGATAGACATACGATTTGGTAAGTTGAAATTCTCTTACTCGGTTTACGGATTCCTTCTCAGTTATCATGATGCAACAATGAATAGTGGAAGATATTGTCCACGGCAACGATTGTGCCTTTGCTTATCAATTCGAGCAGTATCTTTAATCATTGAGCATAACTTTTAGCGCTCTTTGGGAAAGTAAAAATTATTTTTAAGTCACAATTGAAACAATATCTTTCAAAATCTTCCTTAGCTACTTAAAGTAAGATCATGATGTAGTTTACTAACTAGTAAGGCTATCCTAGTAAAAGATAGAGTCCTTAGGATCGAACATGCTGGATGCTTGTCAACTCTAGTATCTTTAATTAGGCATTGAATATAAAACTTTAGCACTCCTTTAGGAAAGTGAAGTTTATTTTCAACTCAAGCTAAAAATATCATCTTTCAGTGTCGTTCTTAGCTACTAAAAATAAGACCATAAAGCAGTTCACTATCTCATGAAGCTATCAGATTTTAGTCTGGCAAATGATTTCTAAAATTTTAATGTATAGGTTACGGTTAATATACGTAAGTTTTTTAGGTGTAGAATATCATGGACAGAAGTCAACAGGTCGCTCGCTTTACATCATCCTTCGTCTAATTACTTGCCATATACGTCTAATAGACTGTAATTTCCACCATAAAATTAGTTTATTGCAATGAGTTAAGTCTTAATCATGACAACAAATTAACTTTCGTATCAAACTTACTGATCACTGCCAATTTCTATAGGTTTTTTATGAAAGAATCGTAGATTTAAACCAATCAAGGAGACAGCTTCGCTTATATTTCACAGCTAGTAAAATCTTATCAGGTTCCTTTACCATTAGTCATTCTACGTCAAACGATGCCTTAAATGATATATTACTTTGAAGAAGGTTTACAAAGGTTCATAAGTACACCTTTTAGGCTGTAATTTAAGACAAAGATAGATAGTGTCCTCAAATATAACCTTTACAGTTTCTATTGCAAAGGATTCTGATGGATGGCAAGTCAAATTTTGAGAAAAATATGTTCGAAATGGCATCTTATAATGCCTTTTCTCATACTCAGTAAAAGCATATATGCATATGCTTAAACATCTTATACTTAGAGGCTCAGCAAGATACAACTTAAGATAGTAAAAGTAGATATCGATAACAGTAGCGCAAATTGTATCAGAAATAGTTTGTGGCTAGTATGCCGATTTTGACTGATTATGATAGGCTTAATAAATATCCATAAACTTCTCACTATACCAGTAATAACGTAATAAGCAAAGAAAGAACTAAAAAAAGACGCTATATTTTTATTTACTCTTATTCCTTCCATACCATTTTATCGATATCGAACTTAAAATCAAATTGTTTCTCTAAGAGTTGGATTCTAACTTTTCCCTAGAATACAAAAAACCCTTTCCGCCATGAAATTAATTTCAATTGCTATCATAACTGCCATCATGATGGCCTGTGTCGACGGTAAGAAGTTAATTACAAGAAATAATGCTCTTATTACATTGCAATACTTAATTTTATTTTTAGTCTATAGGATGATAAACTGAAATTATGGCTTACAATCGTTATAATACACTATCTATTTTTTATTTGATTGATGATGGTAGCTAGTTGCAATTTCAAGTTGACATCGAACTCCGGATCCTTCCATAGCCCAAATTATCCAAATAATTATGCTAGTGGAAAGTGTGAATATAAAATTACAGTTCCTAAAGGTAAAGCGGTCCAGTTAACCTGGAAAACTTTCAATGTTGGTCCTTCCAAGGTGAATAAGAAGTGTCCTGGAGATACAGTTTCGGTCTATGATGGCACTAAGGACAAAAATAATGGCATTGACATTCTGTGTGGGCAAGAAATTCAATCAATTACATCGAGTGGCGGTAACCTGACTATCATTTTAGATAGTAAAAGCGACAAAAAATATAAAGGTTTTTCAGCTTCCTATACTACAAGTACGTGAATTCTTCTAATATTTATATATATAGATTAAAACCTACTAACAGATATAATTTAATTCTCAAGCCTTGTAAAACTTCTACATAACATGTATAATGCATACATATACCGCACATATTTATTGCAAATACAGTATATGGTACATTGCCTATAAAGTAACGTATGACATATACAGTTTATACCTAAATTTTTCTAATATTATATTGATAGAAACCTACTAATACGTATAATTTCATTAAAAACCTTATATGCAGCGTAAATCGGCGACTGAATTTCTTTTATTCTCTTTAAAATCACAGTTGACGTAGCCTGTAATGGTATGACTTTATCGACCGATTCAGGATATATTGCCTCTCCCAATTATCCTAACCCATATCCAATTAATTCAAATTGTTTGTATAAAATACAACTGCCACCTAGGAAAGTTATAGCTATTGGCTGGTTAGGCTTTGATATTCCTTTTGGCCAACCATCAAATTGTCAAGACTACGTGGAAGTTTATGATAAAGAACCCACAGAAAGCAGTAAAGTTTATCGCTATTGTGACCCTGGATATTATCCACCCCAATTTACCTCTAGCAGCAATGTAGCCTATATAAAATTTGTTAGTTCCAGTACCAAAAACAAGAATCACAAAGGTTTTATTGCTTATTATCGATCAGGTGTGTTAAGCAAACACAGTGCCTATATTCATAATAGTTAGTCTTTCGAAGTATATCAGGCGTGATTGCTCATTAAAAGCTAATGGAAAAGAAATTTAGCTGATGTATAGATAATTGCAAATATACTCGTTTTATTTAATAACCTTGTAATCTACCGTCTATTAAAATTAGGTACCAGACAAACCTGCAATATCAATTATGGTACTGCGACAGGAGTCGTTACAGTTCCTAATGTACCATCACTAGTTGGTCAAAATTTGGACTGTAAAATTAACATCAACGCGAAATTGTCTGATATAATTAATTTTAAATGGATGGAATTTGGCTCTGATTTATTCTCTAAGCCCGACTCTTGTCAAAATTTTATCGAAATTTACGGTGGTGACATGACTGCATCTAATTTAGTCTCGAAGAAATGTAATTCTAAAACAGGTTCTAGCGTCAGCATGAATGGTACAACGGCTATTGTGCATTATAAAATCAAAAATTATAACACCAAAAAAAACTTTCGCTTAGTTTATCAAGGAGGTTAGCCATATTATTTATACGTAAATAATAAATATTAATTAAATATAATTGGCCTCCAGTGTATATTTTTAAAATAATGGAAAGCACTTGATTAATATTTATTAATTTACTAAATTTATAATATATCAAGTGTTATGTCTATGATATTTTAAGATGATTCACTTAAATCTATTACTAACCAGATTGTAAATAATAAAATCTATTTCATATATGAATCGTGCGTGGAATTCTTAAACGACTCGATTCTGTAGAAACTTGCTCTGATATTGTATAATTCAGATTAATTAAATCATTTTTTTAGTGCTAGATAATACTATTAAATCCCATTCAATTGCTATACTGTCCCTTTTAGTAATACTCAGTTATTAGTATATTAGCAAATTGCTTGCTTATGATTACTTGGTTTTCTTCTTCTTTTAGTAACAACTGGAGTTTTACATAAAGAAATTATATTCAAAAATGCTACATGTGAAGCTATTGAATGGTATTACAATACACCATTTGGCAAAGTTATTTCTAGAACTTCGTTCTCTTGCAGCTCAGGTAATTTTATTAGCATTTATAGTAGCATTTCAATTAATTTAAGAATGATATTTGATCATATTTCACCTAAATCACTTATTCAAAGGATAATCGTAACTAGGCATGCTATCTAGGGTTTTAGTAATCGATTAATTAGTAATTGCAAAACTAATATAACATCCTCGATATTATAGATTTAATTAATTAAAATCAAATCTTTATTCTATTACAGCTACATAAGATAATTATTTAAAAATTTACTTTACTACTTAGATCGAAATAAATTACATCTTTATTATTTATACTAAAATAAAGAGCATACCATCGTACGGTAACAACGTTAAATATTGCTGAAACACATGGTTTATAATTTACTACTTCTTCGAGTAAACGGATATAGACCAATCTCACTATTTTATTATTGCATAGAAAGCTAATATATCCATTTGAACTTCTTATCTTATATTGATATCAATATCATTTGCAGATTAATACACTCGTACTGTTGTTATTTCGATATATCGCAATACGATTCCTTTATAAAACATACTCATGATATGGCGATCGAAATTGCAATAGCAAATTTACAATAGCTTAGAATTCATTTATATGATAGCAGCAACTGATTGTTTACGGATGGTATATTGTAAATGAATTTATGTTTAATTCAGCATGTATTTACTAACGACTTATTGTCATATTAGGGCATGGCATCAAAGGTACTCTACCACTTTGGGCCTTTGTCCTAATTATTATCGGTAGCTGTGCTGTACTGATAGGACTTTCCATTGGCGTGGGATGTTGCATCTATAAGGCTGTCAAAAGAAGACGAAGTACACCATACAGACAAATATAATTGCATAACGCCTAACTTACAAGTTAATTGGTTTGGTTTGTTCATCTGAGACACACATAAAATACTAAAATTTAACAACTAAGTACATTCTTCATACTTGCTTTAACAATCGGCAAATGGATAGAGAATAATGTTCATTTGAGTTGCACTATTTTAGTGCCTCAAACATTATTTACTTTAAAGAATTATTCAACTATTTTAAAGCAGCGTCATAGACATTGGTATCAATGTTTCAACATGATTAACTAAGATAAAGCTCAATTAATTTTACTCAAAATTTAACCATATTTTTTATACTATCTTAAAATAGTAATACCAGTAGGACATCTGTATATTTCTTGGATTTAATGAATAAATTTGAAAAATGTACACATATATGTAGTGAAGCTCCAAATAAGCTTAAGACTGAAATTAAGGAATAATGCGAAAATCGATAAATTGTACGCTAGGTTGTAAGACTACATAAGTTTCTAATTGTGGAAGATGTTTACGGAATGTATTGTAGTAATTGTGTAGAGATGTTTATATTAAGATTCCGAGATAATAATAGATAGCGCTAATTATGTTAGTACTGTGAGATTTGTATTGTAACGCTTTAATTAGAAGCGCGAATTATGAACTGATAGCGTGATGGTAAATTTAGAGGCGAACTTGTAACTCAATTGGCAAGATATGATTGTGCTTGAAAGAAAATTATTGTGTAACTAATTGTATACAAATTTTGAATATTGCTGCGATAATTTAGAAAGTCCTTGGTAGATACGAGACAAACCTAATCTTATGTAATAAAGTGAAGTTTACAAAATCTGTAGTTCGTGTTGTATTTTTGAGAAGATACTTAATCACAATGTACAATAAACTTAGTTAATCATAAGGCACGGCAATATTTGCGCAAAATTTTGTACGAACAGTGCAAATGAAGAAGATATAGTCGCTACTTCATATTAATTTATTTCACTTAATATTTTGTACGCTTATTTGTAGTTCTAGCGTTATTTGACAGATAAAACATTTTAAATTTATTTTATTGTAAGAAATTGTACTCTGTGAATTATAGTATCTTATCGAAAGAGGTAGAAGAAAGTGTGATATAGACTCCATTCACTGATATCTTATTCTTGTTTTAGAATTATTGAAGAACATATGCAATCAATATGATGTGGAATATTCAAATTTAGCAAATGAGATTAATTTTAATCTCGATTAATCATTTAAATTTTATAGCTTCATCCACAGTAATTATGACTGCAAATTATTTCATGAAAGATTCAATAGATGACTTTTGCTGATTTCATCCTATCATAACAAAATAATGTATTTAGATACGTTATTCGCAAATTAGCAAAAGCAAATAATTTTGAGCATAAATTACTTCTTTATGTGATTGATTGCTACCGGCCTATGGCAACTCTTGGAGTAGATGTTATCAATATTTATAAGATCTTATTGTGCTACAAACACGATAGTAGAATACCGTTATGTTGTAAATATAAGATATATTACATATATACGTATATAGATACTCTCATAATTGCAATTGAAATAGCATCTATCACACCCCAAACTAAAAAAAAATTTAATAGAATGCACTGTGTCTGATTTAAAGAAACAATAATTGCGATGAAGAAGCTGAAAAGAACGCCAATATCCTAAATAACGCTTAATCACTTTTCGTATGATAATTAAAATACAAGTCATGTATTCTATACCGTTTACACCATATATTATAAATTATTCTGAAATTTAACAGTATTTTATTGAAATAGTTATTTTCATTCATTTGGACAGAACTCCTGATTTAAATGTACCCTAGAAAACATTTATGTAAGCGCATACTGTATGCGAGTATTGCAGAGGTTATAATCCAAGGTGATAAATGCATAGCTATAAAACTTTAATCTGACTTATTCTTAGAGGGCCTACTTGTATTGCATACAATGTACGCTATTGTAAATTACCCTAAAAAATTTAATAGTACTTTATGGAAGGAGCCATTTCTATTCAGTTGAGCAGAGTTCTAGATTTGAAGAGTATCTTCGTCAACACCTACTCACACTATATGCAAGCATTGTAGAAGTTTCAATCCGAAATGATTATATGTATATCTGTAAACTTTAAAATCCAATTTATTTTCAGAGAGCCTTATTGTATATGTGAGCATTGCAGAAGTTAGAATCCGAGATGATTAAATGCGTAGTTACAAAACCGTAATGTTATTTATTTCTGAAAGCCTACTTCGATAATTAGAAAAATGATCAGTTTTTGACTGCTTGACTGCTATACTACAAATAATATAGAATAATTATCAAACTGAATACTGATTATAAAGCAATTTTATCAAATCAATACCGAAAAAGTTCTGATAGCAAATGAGCTCATTAGAGGTATAAGATGAGAGTTTTTTTAACTATTAATAAAATCGTTGATATTAGTTATTAGTATAAGGCAAAATTAGCAATTTCATTCAGTACCGTAACATACTTTACTTCATCATTGAAGCAATCGATTAATTAATTCCTGTATAGAATTTTTGCTATCTGGACTGATAACAAATGAAGTCAACGCCAACCTTTGATCTGGTAAGAATTTTTTAACTTAATTGCACCATCAGCAAAACAGCCTTTCAGTTTATAATCTATGAGTTTATCACCCTTTAGATCAGTAACTTAAAATTTGAGTCATTCAAATTAAAAATGAGGAAATTTCTAGCGTGAAATAATTAGGTCAAAACCGTGATTAACCGAAAAAGGATCATGTTAAGAATCACACTAGTCCTTCATACAAATAAGGCATTTCATATAGCTGCAGTAATTAATTAGTTGAAATCGCTACAATCCCCATCAAAGCATGTCTACAAGCTGTCATAAGGGTATTAATTTGATATAAATAAAAATATTGACTCTATAATCAACAAGTTATTCTTGCATTTTCATACAGAAGTGACGTTAAGTCGTGTTAAGGCTAATACTAATATGTGGGAGAGTCTTATAAATTAACTGTGTGAGATTATGGTTTTGCTCATCTTTAGCGACTGACCAAAATCGGCCGTTGAAATCTAGTTTAAGGTTTCGTATCCAGGTTAATACAGTCTATTAACATTTAGGGATAGGACAAAACTCCCATCGTGAGGACCGGCTAGTAGTATAGCACAGAACGCTATTTGGTTCCCTATCAGGATTGTGGGCAGTAATATATGTATATAATATATGCGTAAGATAGTAAATATATAATAGATTATCATATTGTCACGGTACGAACCACCATGCAGAATAAATGACTAAATTTAGTGTTAAACATTTATATATGGAGATAATTAATAATGACCTACAGTAAGAACTATGGTAGTTATTATTTTGTTACAATAAATTATACTGTATTGTAGCAAAATTTGTCATAAGGTAACTAATATTAATTGATTATAGTGCTATGTCTTGTAACGCTTGTGATGAATATGCTGAAGATATTAAATTATATATGATACGATAATACTACATTACAAAGTCAATTTGTTTTTTATTTTTAGTATGTTTTATATACATTTGAATAGTTAATTAATTCTAATTATTTTAACGCCCATTATAATTATTAACAGTTAAATTAATTGATCTATTATGAGCGTAAGAAATACAAAAATATGTATCTAGAAATGACGAGATCATTACACCCAGGGTCGGAAAATTATAACAAGTGGCATTAATAGATTTTAACTTTCTCTAAGTTTTAATTTTGAAAGCTCGTTACTATCATAACTATTAGATAAAGTAAGTAATGACTGATTGATTTGTTCCAACTCTTGAACTTTGTCTATTACTGTAATTATGATTGTTTCATTCCTACTGGAAGACATAAGCCATTTTGTTTCTCTGAATTTACACCTACGATGTAAACTCATCTTTTTCACGTCCCATACCATGTTACCAATTTAGGAATGATCAGAGTTAGGGTTACTGTAATACTTCATTCACTCGTTTTCCTCTACAGTCCTTACTGTTCCTTATATCTTTTCACTTCTCTAGTTTGCGTTTCTTCCCAAATTTTATTCTAAATTATTGATAAATTCGCTTTAGAACTTTATTGACGATCTGACTGCGATGAAAGGGTTTAAGCCGTTCCTAAATAGATAAAGTGCGCTCACTATTTCAGGATTATGACGGTTATAATATGATTATTTATGCCTTTATTCTACTTTTTTTAAAAGACATACTTGGAGAAAGTTTTACGAAAGAATTATGTTGCCAACACGTCAATAAATCCAAAAGTAAATCACTTTTAAAGTTTTTTTCAGTTCATACTAACTGATTACGCCAATTATGTCAATTTTAAGACTAGAACTGATTAAAATTGATATAAACCTCAATATAGCAGCTTATTAAGTTAGACTTTATGCATTTATATATAAAAATTGAAGTAATATTTATAAAATAGTATACCAGTAGAATCATGCTTGCCATGTTAATGGAAATTATAGCTGGCATACCTAACGTGAAAAGTAACAAATTTACAATGTTCTAATGGGCAGGCAATGCAGCTTTCGTAATCCATTTACAAACGCTTTCTAAATGACCTTACCAACAGTCTTTGATTTAGGTTAAAATATAGTCCAGAAGCCTGACCATGCAATCTACACTGCTACTGCTATTGCTTTCAGTTCTTTTAACTAACGTTAATGGTAAGAAAATTCATTGACTATGCATTAGTTTACAGTATGGAACAATTTTTTGTACATAGAAAATGCACTAATTGAAAATTTGAATTTTATATTTTAATAGCCGGATGCAATGTTAGTTTTTATGGTCCCAGTAGCATAGCAGAAAGTCCTCATTATCCTGACATGTATGATGTCGGAAATTGTTATTACTTCATTAAAGTCCCGTTAGGAAAAGCTTTAGCTCTGTTCTGGCTCCATTTCAATGTTGGAACTTCCAAAGAAGATAATCAATGTCGGGGAGATTCGGTTACAGTCTACGACGGTACCATGTTCTCACCTCTGCGCCGATGGACATTCTGTGGCAACGAAGAAGTAAGAAATCTAACATCGACATCGAACATGATGACTCTATGGTTTAAAAGCAATTCGACTCAGCAATATGATGGTTTTCAAGTGCAATATGATTCATGTAAGGATAGAAAAACAGTGATTACATGATGATAGCGTCTTGATCTACATGATCTATCGGATGATATAGTTAGCATGAAAGAGTGATTTGCATTAAACTAATTCTTGACGAAAAGATTATTTTTCCGAAACTTTCATTATCCTTTTGAATACGATTTCAGAATTTAGATGCTATAGATATAAATTACTTTCGCGGAAAAGGTTATCTACCCAATCAGAACAGCAATGAAAGATCGATACTACAACCTTTCGATGAATAGCTTAAGTAGATTATAAACAAGAATACAGACGATTTACTGCAAATAGCTATAGAAATGATCTTCTGTTCCAAAATTGATAATACAACTTTAAAATAGTAAGATCAAAACGGTTTATAAACAAGTAGCTTCACAGTTGCTACTGGTAGTTTCTTTGAATGGATGGATTTCGTTAATGCAATATCCGAAACTCTGGCAAAATTAATGAGCCACTAATACGAATCAGTTTAATGTAGTTATTTTTGGAAATTAAATTTATTTAATGCATTATCATGATCAACCGGAGTCCTCCAACATTCACCTATTAATTTACTATTGAAGTAACAGCCGTCAATCTTGCAATTTATAAGGCAATATACACTTGATACTAGTATGAGAATAACTTGATAGAAAACGACTTTTATGCTACTAGACTCAAAAGCTGTAACATCAGATAGCACTAAACAGACCAATTATCATCAAAAGTAATTGATTGATATAATTTTACCTGTGCTTAATATTATTATCTGTTAGCATGCTATCAAATATCAGTTCAACTAATAAGCCTGACGTAGATCAGTGTTTAATTAAATCAATTGACCAGGGAAAAAAGCTGTTCGCTATTTGGCTAAAGAAAAGTTATGAAATTGTAATAGGGTTATTCGGCTAATATCCTTGTACTTTTTAATTAAATATTGCAGTCGATGTTCCATGCGTAACTCAGACTTATCAAGGCAATCTTGGAATAATTAAGAGTCCCCATTTTCCCCAGCCTTTTCTAGTTCCATCCTGTAGCATTTACAGAATACAAGTTCCAGCTGGTCGCGTAATAAAATTAACCTGGAATAAATTTAGTATCAGCCCAAATGTTCCCGTTTCTTCGTGCTTGAATTACATCGAATTATATGATCAATGGCTAAAATCAGAAAATAAAATTTATAAATTTTGTTCTGGCGACAAGCTACCACCATCATTTACATCTAGTAGCAACACTGTCTACCTGACATTCACAGCGTCTACGATCAGCTCGCTAAATTCAGGATTCGAAGGTGTCTATCGCTCAAGTAAGTATTTGCATCATCAAGAAAATAGATATACATTCAGATTTTCTGTTTATCTATTACTATGTAGACTATAAGCATGAAATCTGTTTCATTTCTATGCATATGTCAAAATTAACAGATATAAGCACTCAGCAGCATTAATAAGTAAACTCATGACTTTATGAATGACACTGTAAAGTGATGGAGTTGAACTTTAAACTTTTAGTGATGAATTAAATCAGCACATATAGATTGCACATTAACTCAAAAAGACTATTTTTAACACTAATCATTCTTTCTCCAACTTTATTCTAGTTACTCGAGATGTGTGCAATATTAAGAGTGAAACTCCAACTGGAGCTATTACCGTTCCTAATAATCCATCGTATCTTCACCTAGACCTCGACTGCTTTGTAACCATCAATATTATTGATATTGACTATATTATCCTTAGATGGGTAGAATTTGGTCCCCAACTATTTGACAATCCTTCTTTATGCAAAAATTATATTGCTATTTATAATGGTCTAATCAATTCCACTGATTTGATTATGTCATTGAAAATGTGTCAAGAAGGAAACGCTACTACGTTGCCAGTAAAATCAAAGAATTTGATCAATGTACGCTATCGTGTTTGGGATTATAATCACTTTAAGAACTTTCGATTCTTTTATATAGGGGGTAAGAAGCAAATAATATGAGAGTATAGTGAAAGATCATTCAACTTTTACTTGCCGATACTTTATTCATATTGGCATCGTAATATTGCACTCGAGTGAACGAAAACTACGGTTTATTCTCGTGTTGTATAACTTATTTTAGAATCTTCATCATAGCCTTGGCATCAATTAGTGACATCGCCAAGAAATTTTCTGATGCAATAGCTTTTGTTAGTCTCAGTTTCGTAATTTATCGAACTACTTAATTCTTAAATAGCAGCTACAATCTTAAGAAAATGACATACAGTAAATTTATAGATATCTCAGCCTTAGCAATATTGATGCTCTAAAGTAAAAAATGTTGACAAAACGTTAGTGAGTTGCGATATTGCATATGATCTTAACTTCACCCATGTTATTAAAAGATAGAGTAATGTTTTACCAAATTTAACTGTAGTTAATTCGAATTAAGCATAGCTTTCTTTACCGTAGTGTGATACTGGTTTATCTTTGGCCACAATCTTCTATCATTAGGAATGAGAAATTTTTAGATTTTAGAGTAGTTATAGCGTACCTCGCAGTTCATTTATTACGTCTTTGCAGCCACCGTCTCGGCTCAATTATAAACTAGGGATCGATAATTCTCTGTAATATTACATTTAGTAAACTTTATGATACAATAATGCTCTGAACTAGTTCAATACAAGGGTTATAGATAAATATCTGTATATGTTGTAATTATGAAAATTTTCTTTGAGTCAGGCATAGTATCGTAGTAAATACATTCATGATAATAAAGCATAAGCATAACCTCGCCAATTTTTAATTTAAAGTCTCTTCCCAACAACTACAAAAGAAAATTAAATTTTCCAATGCCAGCTGTGAAGATATTGAATGGTATTATGAAGCGCCTTTTGGAAATGTAGTTGTTGAATCAACATTATCTTGTAAAGGTAAAAGATATCGTATTATTAATATCTATTCTAAGGCAATTCCTGCCATCAATTGACTACAATCTTGCTCTAGACATCTTAAATTATAAATTAAGCAAAAAATTGTCGATCATATCCCATTTCTTCATAATAAGAATATATTTACATTCATTTACTGTATACCTTATCTATATTTCAATTAGAAATAGTAAATTTGATTTACTTACTTGCAAACGATAAAGTATAATGCATGGCTGTACACTCTAGGAATATTCGTTTCTATCCAAATATACTTACAGTAACTAAATAATAAATATTAATTTGACATAATTACTTTATCGAAGAGCAACGATTTATAATTTTTATAGCTTGGTTTGTAGGTGATTATATGCCATTTATTAGTAGCTTTGATCTACGAATATGATTGCTTACCTCACGTGTCTTTCCTGTCTCCTTTTCATACAGAACCTGCTTCTAAGCTAGCCACTTGGGTCATGATTGTTATTTTTTGCGGGGTAGGCTTAGCTTCGACTGTGCTTATTATTGTTTCTGGATGTTTGCTGGCCCGTTATTTGCAAAGAAGTAGACAACGTTACCAAAACTTGTAACATGTAGCATATCTTGGTATCGAATTACAAAGTAAATCAGATGTCGTAATCTATAAACCAGAAATTTTAAAGTATAACACGATTGTAGCTTTTTTAAATACAAATATTGCAAGAAATATACTCTTATGGATTCATATTTTCTTTTCCTCTGTTGTAAATGTTATATTACTAGTATTACAAAATTATATAATTTTTTTCGTATTGCAACTGTATCACTTTGTTACAGTGTTAAATACTGTATTACAGTACAAATATCTATGTTAGGATAATTCTATTAGACTATCCTTATTTAGTTAACTTCTAATTTGGATATACTGTGTTTTAATATAGCACTGACTTTTTATCACAGTGATACTTATACACATACTGAAATTAATAGTTATAATAGGGAATGCAAATCATCTACTTACAGTTCCAATCATTGTGATTGTAATTTACTTATGGTAGATTGTAAATTATCATGGAAATGTTCCGTGATAGGACATATCGTAATCTGACTATTCTGTATTAGTCATTACATGTCTATATTCGTAAATACCGTTGTCTGCATTAAGGGAGCAGTAGCTAAACTTAATGTCTAATTCAGTAAATGATTCCGAGGTTAATTGTATTAACTATGACTCATGAACTATTGAGGAATAGTATATAAATGCAGTATATCGTGAAATAAAGAGAATTCTCCAACTTAGTGTTTAACGTAAAATACGAGGCGTTTAAGTCTTTGTGTAGTCTGCTAGTAGAGCAAAAGTGTTTGTGATAGTGCAGATATCGTTCCTTGATACGTGGTTCAAGGAATTGACTTATTGATCGTATATTGAGTTATCTTGTTGCAAAGCTGTTTTGTGACACACTTGCATAAAAGATTACGGATATGCCATTTTATATATTTGCAATATAAAAGTGCAAATATCAAATGAAACTAAACACAACAACCATCATCATAGTTAAGCAGCGTCAATACCTAGTTGTCAGTGAATTTGATAGAAAAATCATAAGACGCACTAGAAGTACTTTTATAATTCTTTCTTTTCCACTACATCTCAATTACCATGTTTTCAGGTCATAATACTTCAAAAGAGACATAGTATTCTCAGATATAGCTAACCTATTATGACTTTACGTACGAGATAATAAAGCTTGCAAGAGCTGCTGCTATCAGTTTATCATTTTATTAGACATAGAAATACTGTATGCTTTAAAATTGATACCAAATGTATTTTCTGTCAAAATGTAAATTATTTGCTTATTACCCTGGAAAATTGGATACTATGATTATAATGAAATTTTTGTAATCAATTTTCTTTTTTCTCTATTGTTAATCCTTCAGTTGTAAAAATAATTAAGAGGTGATCTACATCAAACATTAAAAATTGCTCCCGTTATAGTTTTTGCAGCTCATGTTCAATGTATTATATTAAGTATATTACATTTAGATTATTGCAACGATTTTCCGTTTAATCTACTGTCTACTCATTACCCCAATGGATATTCAAAGTATCGTAATCAGGTCCCTCTATATAAAGAATTATTGTCATAATTTTGATTTATACTATATGGCTCTCAATGTGTGCAATCCTCTATCGCTATTAAATTGTATTCTTCAATATCCATTATTTTGTTGGTTAATACTTACTCTATATAAATGATCTACTTGCATACTCAAATCTATTGGTTACTCAATTTCGATCATGCAAGTATTGGCCACATGAATTTCATGGTGGGTAGTAAACTTTGAAGTACATAAAATTTCTGATGCTCTATCTTGTACAATTTTAGTAGCAGTTTTAATATGATAACAGCCTCTAAAAATGATCTACTTGTATACTCATATCTATTGGTTACTCAATTTCGATCATGCAAGTATTGGCCACATGAATTTCATGGTGAGTAGTAGACCTTGGAGTACATGAAATTTCTGACGCTCTATCTCGTACAACTTTAGTAGTAGTTTTAATAGGATAACAGCCACCTAGGCTATTTGCTATCTTCGGATATCCGCTCTAATATAGAAAGATTACGCAGTTAAGTAGCGTTGATAAAGTATCTGTTGCAGCGCAATCAATCATCATCTCTTTGTTTACAGCTACTTTAAGAGCTTGACACTGTTGTTCTATAGTAAAGAAACTGATATCAAGTCATTTAAAGCTTAGAGATCCCCTTGAAAGACATTTAAAATTCATCAAATAATACTTGCACTAGATTAAAGCCATCAATTGTGTGTTTCTGCAATTCTGCAGTATCTGTTGCAGCGCAATCCATCAACCTTCCCATGTTTACATCAACTTTAAGAGCTTGATACTGTTGTTCTATAGTAAAGAAACCAATATCAAGTCTTATAGAGCTTAGTTCCCCTCAAAAGACATTTAAAATTCATCGAATACCAGTTGTACTAGACTAAAGCCATGAATAGGGCATTCCTGCAATTCTGCAGTAGCGCAATCCATCAACCTCCCATGTCTACATCCGCTTTAAGAGCTTGATACCGTTGTTCTATAGTATAGAAACCAATATCAAGTCATATAAAGCTTAGAGATCCCCTTAAGAAAAATAATTTTTCAGTGTCTGTCTTAGCTACTAAAATAAGACCGTGAAATAGCTTAATAACTGATAAAGCTATTAGATTTCAGTCTGGCAAATGATTTCTAAAATTTTAATGTATAGGTTACGGTTAATATACGCAAGTTTATTGAGTAGAATATCATGGACAAAATCAACAGGTCGCTATGCGTCATCCTTGGTCTAATCACATGCAAAACATGTCTAACGGACTGTAATCTCTACCGTAACACTAAATTACTGCGATAAGTTAATTCTTAATCTTGACAACAAATTAACTATCGTATCGAACTTAGTGATCACTGCCAAAATCTATAGGTATTTTATGAAAGAATCGTAGAAATTTTGAACTAAGCAAGGAGACAGCTTTACTTATATTTCTTAGCTAGTAAAATCTTATCCGGTTCCTTTACCATCAGTCATTCTACGCCAAACGATCCCTTAAATGATACAATACTTTGAAGAAAGTTTATAAAGGTTCATAAATATACCTTCTAGGCTGCAATTTAAGACAAAGATAGATAGTGTCCTCAAATATAACCTTTACAGTTTCTATTGCAAAGGATTCTCACAGATGGCTACGTCAAATTTTACTGAAATACGTTCAAAATGGCGTCTTCTAACGCCTTTTTCATGCTCATTAAGGCATATATATATATATGTCAACGGCAATTTGCGAAATCCGGCATTTTGCAAAATAACTGAAATCCTTTAGGCATTTTGCAAAATGCCTAATCCCAATTCAACCATGTATTTCAAACGATCCTAAAATGGTAATAACAATAAGACATCTGTACATTTCTTGGATTTAATAGATAAATTTTAAAATGCGTATATATGCAGTGAACTCAGCTAATCATAAGACGTGGTAATATTGTTGCAGTAGATAGAAACTACTTAAGTCAATTGCAAATGCTATCTGATAGTGGTATCCTTATCTTTAGTAGGTTATGCCATATTTAAATAAATAAGCAAATAGTGATATCTAAGAAAAAAAGTATGCTTACCGCTAATAAGCTGCGACGATGATATATTCACGAATGGCCAGACTATAGTTATAAAATGTATTATAATGCTGCACTAGTATCAATCAAGTTCATGATCCAGAATTTATCACGAGATCATAGGCACTAATATTTACGCATTTAGTCCTCTGGTTTATAATGCATACTTCAGTTTCCCATTAGAATCTACTGTAGTTTAATCCTTTAATCTTTTCGACTTAAATTTCAGTAATTAATATATAGGCTAATTAGCTAATAGGTTTATAGTTAATTTTTGTACTTTTAGGGTAATATTAATTTTAGATAAATTGCCTAATACAATTTAGCAATACATTTTTAGAAACGATGACTATAGACTGACTTAATTAACAATTTTAAAATATGTACTTCGGAAAAGGATCTGTCTTAACTAAGACTTGCAATAGTAGTTAAATATTGCAGCTTAGCTTTACTTAAAACGTTAATTCAAATTTGCAGGAAGGGTTAATTTACTTCATGTGGGTTTAATAGCGGCCAAAAATAATGTAGTTATGAAAGTAAATGACCATTTCCACCCTAAATGATTATATGACATGCGCATAATGGCAAAATGTGCTATGTCATTTAAATTCAATTCTGCAAGGATAAAAAAGACGAAAACTTAAATTTAGAGCTAGGATTAAAATAAATAAAGACTAAACTATTGCATAGCAACCAGATATATAAGCTATATTTAATTAATTATATTGATATTTGCATACCAAAAGCTGATATTTTGTTTATCGGTGCTATGCAACTAATCTGGGTGAGGTTAATTCTATTTCTAGCCATCAATAGAAGAAATATAGCTATGGTCAGCATTAATCAGTTTGGTACTCTTTGTTTGCAAATTCAGAGGACTTTATTTCATCTGTTGATATATTAATTTATGCTTGCCACATTTGTCCGCTATAGCTCTCGTTGTTATTCTATTCAATGTTGTTAACAAAGGTTTATACGTTAGATTAAGTAAAAAAGAAAAGTCATTTACTTTCTATTCAGAAGCTTTCTACGTCTAGCAGAAATAGCTAACGAAACTTGTTATTCCAGTCGTCAGAAAATTTCGTGAAAGAAATACGATTTAGTAAGTTAAAATTCTTTTATTTGGTTGAAGGATTCCTTTTAGGTTATCATGATACAACAGTCTATAGTAAAAGATAGGGTTCACGGCATCGATTGTATCTCGTACTTATTAACTCGAGCAATATCATCGTGCTTTGACGGTTAAATTTTAGCACTTTTAGGGAGATTAAAGGCTATCATTAAGTCATAATTGAAATAATATCTTTCAATATCTCCTTTAGTCACTAAAAATGAAGCCATAAAGTAGTATACAAGCTGGTGAAGCTATATTAGTAGAAGATAGAGCCCTTAGAATCGATTATGCCTGGTGCTTATTAACTCTAGTATCTGTAAGCATTAAACGTAAAATTTTCACATTCGTTTGGGTAAAATGGAGTTTATTTTGAAGTCGTGGCTGAAAGAATGTCTTCCAAAGATTCTTTTAGTCACTGAAAATTAAGACCCTGAAGTAGTTCACTTACTGGTAAAGCTATTTAATCCCAGTTTTGCAAATGATTATTAAATTTTAATGCATAGGTAGCTTACGGTTAACATATAAGAGTTTTGTTAATAGAAGATAATGGATACAAATCATTCGTTTGCTATGCATTAGCCATGGATAAATCACTTACTAGGCACTTGTAAGAAACTGCAGTGGTTTCTATTAAAAAATAAACCTATTGCATTGAATTGATTCTTAATTTCCATAAGGAATCAACTATTGTATCGATTTTAAAAATCGCTACCAATTTCAACAAGTAATTTATAAAGAAATCGCAGATTTAAATTACGTATAGGCTATACCATTCTTTAAGATAGGCATGATAGTATCTAGACATAGAACCTTGTACAGTTTCTATTGCAAAGGACTTCTTATAAATGCCTATGTCAAATTGTACAGAACAGCGTTTAAAATGATGAGTTCTAACGCCAATGCTCACTGACAGTATATACGCATATTCCTAAACATCTAATGCATTATAGCCCAGTAAATGTGTAATGTCATATAACAGAACCATTTATCGATAATAATAATTGTGCAAACCGCAACAGAATAATTTGTATGTCAACTTTGACTACTGATTTATATAACTGTTATGAAATGAATTTGAGGTTAAAGTGAATTTACCGTTTAGATAAACTTCTTGTAATCAATCGCTGCGAGATACCTTGGCGATCAGGTTCTACTTTTTAATAATCATCGATACTAACATTTTTATGGTAATCGTCATCGATTTTTAAATATGACATACTATAATGCGATCCTCTTATATAACGACATGAAAGCGTTTAGATTGCTATATTTTTTTTTGGGGGGGGGCAATAAACTAAACGAAATCATACCAAAATTGAAATCAAGTAGAGTACTAGCGTTATATCAACAGTAATAATTATTCCAGTATTATTTTTAATTTACGATAATATAGTTACCACATCGTAAAGATTATTAAAATCTCTTAATAAATGTCGAGATAAAATTATTGTATAATAAATATCATGATAGCGACTAGATACAGTACTATGTTTAATGTAGATACTATTTTCGTTCACAACATCCAATAATAAATTTTATTTCAGGAAGTAAATATCAAAATTTCATAAATAGGGAACCTTTAGTACCATGCTAGGATAACTTCTAGCAAAATATTAGAAATTTTCTTTTTCTCAATTCGGGTCCATATCTTTCCATTATGAGTTTCTACCATTTTATGATCCGTAGTTCGTTAAGTGATCAAAAGATAATGAAAATTATTTAACTAAGTAAAAATCAGCTAATATTGTTTATTTGAGCATAACGTTTAGATTTGAAAGGCGCTGAAGCATACGTTTATGCTTACTTGCATGGGCATCGTAGAAATTACATAAAGGGATTAATAAATGTGTATAATATTAACTAAATTTTTATCAAATTTAGCCTTAGAGGGCCATCTTCAAAATTAAGACTGTCATTCGACTTTGGCTAGTCTGCTAATATTCTTCGAGGGGTGCAGCACAATTATTAAATAGAACAAGGATTGTTTAGCAATTTTATCAAATTAATTACGGTACGATATATCATACTCATTGCACAAGGAATTTATTCGTCCATGGAATGTTATCGGCAGTGATCACATTTTGATTAATTAATCTGAATTTGATCGGTTGTTTCCCAAAAATTCAAGAATAAAGTACAGTTGATAAAAACCACGACACGGAAGTATATCTTACCAGCTATTGTTTATTTAGCAATTGTTTAGTCAGCGTTATTCAACTTGCCATAGAAATAAGACATAATACTTTTTAATTGATACATATGCTCAATGATGACGATATATTTATTTCTGTGACATTAATCGAATTTTTGACGGTCGCGTATTCAGGCTAATCAACATGGCAATGAATTTACTCTTCTTCATTTTAATACTGTCAGCTTTACTTTGGACATCATGTAGTAAGTTTAAAGATTGGCTTAGCCAATGCAATGTTTTTGTTAATTTCTAATAATATAAATATTCAGTCTTACTAGCTTAATAGATCTTACGATGAATCTAACTTCTTTTGCCCAATCAGATTCAGTAACACTTACAACTATGCCTCCAGGCGGTAAGTAAATTGTGAATTTTGGGATTATTACTTGTATAGCAAAACACTAATTCTTTCAATTACAGTATTTATTCTTAGTTCTTCGTGCTAACATGAATTATTCCTTACGTAGCCTTATCTACAAATTCAAGTAATTTGCATGCGCGCTTGGTAGATACTAACGCCACGTGTGCATCCTATGAATGGTATCGTAACACATCAAATGGCCAGGTTGTAGCTCAGCAAACCTCTCACTGTTATTCAAGTAAGCAAAAATTTCATCAAGATGCAGCCAATACTTCAATTAATAAATAGTTGTAGCTGAAATCGACATCAGTTGATATGATGAAACATAAGTCGACGCTTAGCTATTAAGGTCCATGACAAGGCTTAAATTATGAAAATGAAATGTAATACTCGTACTTTTTCGTGATACTTATTACAACTATTATACAAGTAGATGATTAATATATTGCAACAAAGATATAGTAAAAATCAAAATTTGTTAGGTATAGAGATTAAGATTCATTATACCAGTTGATTGATATGAGGATATATAAACGGGAGTAAGAATAGCTTTAAGATATTGCGTTTTATAGTATCTAGCCTGCCTGTTCTATAGTAGGATCGTATAATGATATTTTTAGCAGCATCTAATATATCTATTCTACCTTAAATCTGTGAACTACATTCGCTCTGTGAGTGTTACATAGTTTCATAGATTTTGGAAAATAGAGCTATTTCAGTTAAAATTAAAAATCTTATTTAATTTATTTTCATACTTATTTCATTTGATAACTGTTGATGTTAACAATTAAAGAATAGGATACACTTTATGAAATTATGAAACTGTATGCAGATAATTGAGCTAGCTATGATAGAACATTCTTATTTTTAGAAAATATCATTGATAGCTATTGCTAAATCGAAAATTTTAATATGCAACATGTAGAAATTTTCCACTATTAAATGTTTAATACATTGACGTATTTCAGATCGCTGTAATGTCACATTCCACCAGTCATCGGGCACCTTTACTAGTCCTTACTATCCACTTAGATATATGCCAGCTTTCTGCACCTATACTATCAACGCACAAAGTGGCAACACTATCACCATTAACTGGCAAAAATTTAATGTTGGAGTAGCGGCATTATTTGGAAGCTGCTTACCTGATAGTGTTACGGTTTATGACCAATCAACTGTGTCTCCATTAAGTAAAAGTGTACTATGCGGTAACATGAGTCAAACCAGTTCATTCACGTCTAAATCAAATAAAATTATTATTGTTTTCAAAAGCATATCAAATCGCCATTTTAATGGCTTTATGGCCAACTTTAAGACCAATGGTCTGGCTTCACATCAAAATCATCACTCGCTAGCTACTGTTATCCCAAGTAAGAATTGCATGGCGATACTTTAATTGCAAATATCGACTTTTATTCTACAATTCAAAGATATCAATGAATACTGAAATGAATTAAGTTGATACTATAAATTCATTCTATTTTGATTTATATCCTGATAATAAGCAACTGGTGGTCAAATCTATACTCAGGTTAAAAGTATCAATAAAACCTGTAAATCTATTCAATGGTATTTTAATACCCCCCATGGAAAGCATATAGTTCGGATTTTACTGGAATGTGTTAAATGTAAGAAAATCAGGCTTAAAATATTGATTTTATATAATATAAAAATACGTAGCTTGATAATATATTTTTCAGCTATTGCTGTTGTTTCTTTGCTAATGTTGGATGAATAATTTTCCTTTACTTGCTCTAGTTACCGTTACCTTGCCAACATGGGCCATAGTAATGATTGGCATTGGCATTGGTTTTGTGGCAATAACAATATTTTGCTGCTTCTGTGCCAACTGCAGTATGATTATCAAAGGAAAGTGTCTAGGTTATAGAAAGATGTAGTGCTTGGGTTTTACAACCCCTTACTACTCTAATTAGCTGAAACTACTATAAAGAATAAGGAGAAAAGATCCAGAATAGGCGAAATAGTTATGTATAAAATAATACATGCTAATCTTGGAATCTTTACATTCTCTAAAATGGTAGCAGAATGCTTTACGACTTCAAAAATTGCCATTTAATCAACTAAACTTACCCAATCTTTAGATACCGTAAACCTTTATTTCTTAGTGAAATACGTAGAAAATTTAGCAGATACTGTAGATTGAAATTTTTCCTATCATTATAAAACGGTTGCTAGCTATACTCTATTTTTATTTTTTAGATAAACTACATCGATACCTTAATGTTATAGATATAGTGATCGTTAAATGCTATAATAAGAACGACATGTACTCATATTGTTTCTATCACTTTTAATTAAGACCTGTTTCTTTATCGTTTGACTAACTTATCCGATTTTTTTACAATATATCCCGATAAATTGCAACTGTTTAAGTAGATAATAGCGATATTTTGCATCATTGTTTGTATAATTATTATATGTCCGTATGTTAAGTAACATGTTGGTTTTACTTGAGCGATAAAAACAATCGTTTCGTAAGCTTTGATTTTAATAAAAAATATTTTCGCCTTTATACATTTCACAATAGACCATCTATTTTAACCTACTTCTATGGCTCGCATATAACATAACATAAATAATTCCTGGTGCAAGTAAGAATTTATGGTCGTTATATTGTTATACATTTAGCTTTCAGTATAGATAAGTTTTAGCTCTTGTTGGCTTGAGATTCTAGCTAAGGTGTCGGTTAATGTAATCAACTTAAGCGTAACTAATCATCATGGCCATTCTAACTACCTCAATAAGCCTTTACATTTGATGGAAATGTCATTTTGCAAATCATCGCTTGATGGCAGACGAAGAGTATCTGCCGAACGACTTCTGGAAATTTATTTGCGTTGCAGAAACTTGATGCTAGAGCCAATAAGAAGATTAGTGGGAAAGAGCACTTTGTAATCCAGATTGAATCACATTGTACTTAGCCATAACGACTTGAAATTATGTAATTGATAGATCTTTGATCTAAATGTAAGTGAGGTCAGATTATATAGCTGCCATTCGCAGATCTGAGACATTAGCAATCACTAGATAGGAATAAACTCGAGTACTCGAACATAAAGCATTAATATGTTTGGCTATATTTCACGGCTTCTTAAAGTTGTAATTATCTCAATTCCTTCATTCCCGTAATGCATTTTAAAGCAATAATAAAAAGCATTTATTATTTATTCAAATACATCCTTAGCAGTCCTATTAAAAGCTTGATCCTGTTATTCTATAGCATAGAAACTGATATCAAGTTATATAAAGTTTAGAGATCTCCTTGAAAGACATTTAAATTTCATCGAATAACACTTGCACTAAATTAAAGTCATGAATTGTACATTTCTGTAGTATCTGTTACAGCGCAATCTATCAACCTCCCATAATTACATCCACTTTAAGAGCTTGATACTGCTGTTCTGTAGTAAAGAAACCAATATCAAGTCCTATAGAGCTTAGAGATCCCCTTAAAAGACATATAAAATTCATCGAACAGTTGTACTAGATCAACGCCATAAACTGTGCATTTCTGTAGTATCTGTTGCAGCGCAATCCATCAACCTCCCCATGTTTACATCCACTTTAAGAGCTTGATACTGCTGTTCTATAGTAAAGAAACTAATATCAAGTCCTATAGAGCTTAGAGATCCCCTTAAAAGACATATAAAATTCTTCGAACAGTTGTACTAGATCAACGCCATAAATTGTGCATATTGCAATTCTGCAGTATCTGTTGCAGCGCAATCCATCCACCTCCCCATGTTTACATCCACTTCAAGAGCTTGATACTGTTGTTCTATAGTATAGAAACCAATATCAAGTCATATGGAGCTTAGAGGTCTCCATAAAAGACATTTAAAATTCATCGATTCACAGTTGTACTAGATTAAAATCTTGAATTGTGCATTTCGTCAGTATCTATTGCAGCGCAATCCATCAACCTCCCTATGTTTACATCCACTTTAAGAGCTTGATACTGTTGTTCTATGGTACAGAAACCAATATTAATTCACATAAAGCTTAGAGATCCCCTTAATCTAGTACAACTGTTAATCGATGGATTATAAATGTCTTTTAATCTTTTAAAGCCATGAATTGTGCATTTCGGCAGTATCTGTTGCAGTGCAATCCATCCACCTCCCCATGTTTACATCCACTTAAAGAGCTGGATACTGTTGCTCTATGGTGTAGAAACCAATATCAAGTCCTATAGAGCTTAGAGATCCCCTTAAAAGATTAAAAAACGTTTATAATCCATCGATTAACAGTTGTACTAGATTAAAGCCATAAATTGTGCATTTCTGCAATTCTGCACTATCTGTTGCAGCGCAATCCATCCACCTCCCCATGTTTACATCAACTTTAAGAGCTTGATACTGCTGTTCTATAGTAAAGAAACCAATATCAAGTCGCATGGAGCTTAGAAATCCCCTTAAAAGGCACTTAAAATTCATCGATCAACAGTTGTACTAAGTTAAAGCCTTAAATTGTGCTTTTCTTCAGCTTGAAGATTGCTAGACCTTCAATTGGGTTCGAAAATATTCCATACAACTCATGCGCCAATCACTCACCTGTGGTGAAAAAGCAGTCCATTCTTGACTTGATTGAGTATCGACCCTTGACGATAAGGTTGTATCCCTATTTCTCATACCAGCAACCCTATCCCCATGGTCAGATGTTTGACTGGAGAATTGAGTGTATTTTGCGTCACTAGACTCATGAAGGTTAGCTTGTAGAATAGGTCCGGTAAAGACCCGTCAACCCATACTGAAGACTAGAAGAGGAGAAAAAATGGCCATAGAGTTTATTCATTGATGGCGCCCCGGCCTGAACACCGCAATTCCAACGGCCTGGTCATTTCTAGTCTAGCCTATAAGCTCTACAGTCATGAATGCGTAGTATTACTCACTATGTATGGAGGATTTATCAAGGTTGTATAAGGCAACCGCGGGCCTAAAGCCTTGGCGATATTCTTCCTATCATTTCCTATCCTATTAGTCCTTGAAAATCAGCCATTAAAAGCATTAAAACATCATTTATCCTTTATCCTTTAGGTTTATATTGATCCATTATTCAAATTGGCTGTTACTAGATAGCCAGATTGAGTAGTTAGACCAGTAAGAAAGAAATCACTTGGCGTATGCAGATTTGTTGTTGTGTGTTGGCGAAAGGATGGAGAACGAATGAGCAAGCGAAAGACGACGTATGGATCCTCAATTTAAGAAAATTTTGCAACAGAAACGCCAAAATGTAGAAGATTTATTCGATTTTGAAGGATGCAAAGTTGGTCGAGGTACTTATGGTCATGTTTATAAAGCAAAAATGAAAACAAGGTAATGAATTGTACGATACAAGTGAAATCTCCATAACCAACTTTGATTCGTCTTGTCCAGTCTTGCAAGCTCCGAATAAGTGTCGAATAAACACGATAGTTAGCATTTAATAAATCCTAATGCTGACTTGCAATAGCATCGAGTGGTCATAATAGGTCTAGCCTACAAGTTCTTTTAAGCAATAATTATATTTAATCCGTGAATTGTCTGAGTAAAACATTCAATGGCTTCATCGTAGCCATGGCCTTCCGTAGTCCATTCAGTATCCAACCGCAACAGTCTTCCATTTTTGGAAAGTAATTTTATCCGAAACAAGTTTTGCATTGCATCCTCTTGTTTCTTCTTCCTTTTTTTACTTCATAGTATCGCTTTTTCTACCAAGTTCATCATTCGTAAAATCAGTTCTTCTATCGTAATCGAAAAGCTTTGTATAGTATAAAAGCTACATGCTATCGTTTTCAACCTAGAAAGACTTACAGTAGGTTACAGTAAATCCTTGCCGGTTAAAAAAAAACACTAAATCCATAACAAATTAACAAGGCTTACATTATTTGGGCACAACCAATTCATTGTAATCTCCTTATTTCGTTAAAATGGCAACTAGGAAATACGACGATACTCTTCGTCTTTTTTCCACAACTTACTGACAGGTGTAGTTTACTTCTGAAAAAGTTGACCAAGCCACATAACAAAGCTGAGTAGAAAGAGAACTATGTCAAGGCTGTTCTAAATGGAACTAAAATACGATACGAGTTGACGGAAATATACGTTGCATACCTTAAAATCAACATGTCTCTAGGATAGATCCAATTGCATCTAGGGTAGTTTACACTGAATCCTTTTCCATAGCTTATTAAAGATTGGGCTTCATTTCTGATGAAGCCGAGAACCTAAGAAATGATGCTATAGCACACAAATGTAAAACAAACTGCAATGTTATACTAATTCACTGAAACTATAAATTGTACAAACGTCATCTTGATTTTAATCTATTTCTTAGCGGCAAGGAATATGCCTTGAAATTAATCGAAGGAACGGGAATTTCCATGTCAGCTTGTCGTGAGATTGCTGTAAGTTCAACCTGAAGTAGTATGATTCAATTTCTCAATTTTCCTTACTCTTGAACCACATCCAAAATCAAATTTTTGATGAATAATGTTTCAACACAAAATCAGTTAAGGATACCTTATCTAATGTGAAAGTAATATATGGATTAGATAGAATTGTTGAATTCCCTTTTCTAATTGTATTTACTCTATCTGGACTGCATTTTAGATTTTACGCGAAATTAGTCATACTCATGTCATCTCCTTACAAGGTGTATTCCTGACTCATGCTAGTCGAAAAGTGTGGTTATTGCTGGATTTTGCTGAACATGATTTATGGGTAATTGAAAACATGGATCACAATAGATTTGATTTTATTAATCTTAGCGTTATGCTTATTAGCCAAGGAGTGATTGCTTCTGGTTGCACTTTTTCTACCACTGCCAATCTATTGGCTAAAGTTCAATGCTTTGCTATCATATATCGAACAAGTAATTGCATCAGTTTAATGAATGAATTGCTTGCTCACATTAGAAATGCATGACTATTAAACTATCTACTACCCTATGACTCCATTTTTTAAAGTACAGTACTACTAAGTTATACTAAGTAATTGCTTAAGTTTTAATTCACGCATCGTCGGTTCACATTGCTAGTACGTTAGTATCCTACCTTCTGAACGTTTTTGACTGTAATTACTAATATTAAAATATTACCGTTGTATTGTTATACTCCTAGTATTATATTATGCATGAGCTACTGAGGTCGAAAGCTCGGTAGTATCCTACCTTTCCAATGCTCACAACTTGATTTACTAAAGTTTCAATACTACTATAGTATTATCATAGCATTAATTAATTTTTGAATGGGTTGTATACATAGTAAGTCCAATAGGACCTTACTTTCTTTATGCTTATGACATGATTGGATCCTTTCCATTAGACTGATCTACTAGATTCTTGAATGTTAAAATACTACTATAGTATTACGATAGCATTAATTTATTGATGGGCTACTTAAGTCCGGTAGTATCCTACCTTTCCAATGCTGAGGACTTGATTTACTGAAGTTTCAATACTAATATAGTATTATGGTAGCATTAATAAATTAATTTTTGGATAGCCTACTTACATCGTAAGTTCAATACGACCCTACTTTCTCTATGTTTATGATTTGATTGGATCCGTTCCATTAGGCTTATCTACTTGATTTATGAAAGTTAAAATACTACCGCAATATCGTTCTAGCAGTAATTTATAGATGGGTCAATTCAGTCCGGTAATATCCTACGTTAGTATGATTATAGCATTAATTAATTTTTAGATAAGTTACTTACATCGTAAGTCCAATAGGACCCTACTTTCTATATGCTCATGACTTGATTGGATCAATTCCATTAGACTGATCTACTTGATTCATTAATGTTAAAAATATTACCATAGTATCGTTATAGCATTAATTTATAGATGGGCTAATTAAGTCTGATAGTATTCTACCTTTTGAATGCATAGGACTTGATTTACTTCAGTTTCAATATTACCATGGTGTTATTATAGCATTAATTACTTTTCTGATGGGCTGCTTACGTCGTATGTCCAATTTTAAATGCTTATGACTTGATTTACTTTAAGTTTCAATTCTACCGTAGCATTATTATAGCATTAATTAATTAATTAACTTTTTGGATAGGCTACTTACATCGTAAGTCCCATAGGACCCTACTTTTTGTATGCTTATGACTTGATTGGATCAATTCCATTAGACTGATCTACTTGATGCATTAACATTAAAAATATTATCGTAGTATCGTTATAGCATTAATTTATAGATGGGCTAATTAAGTCCGATAGTATTCGACTTTTGAATGCTTAGGACTTGATTTACTTAAGTTTCAATTCAACTATGGTGTTATTATAACACCACGCTTCAATAGTTTCTTAAGTTTCAATGCTACCGTTGTATTATTATAGTATTAATTAATTTTGGATAAGCTACTTACATCGTAAGTCTAATAAGACCTTACTTTCTGTATGCCTTAGGACTTGATTAGGTCAATTCCGTTAGAATGATCTACTGGATTTATTAACGTTAAAATACTACCGTGATATTGTTATAGCATGCTTTAATTTATTGATGGGCTACTTAAGTGTGGTAGTAACGTACCTTTTGCATGCTTATGACTTGATTTACTAACGTTTATTAACGTTAACATACTACCGTAGTATTGCTATAGCATTTAATTATAATTATTGATAGGCTATGGACGTTGTAAGTCCGGTATTATCCTACATTTTGCATGCTTATAACTTGATTTGCTAATAACTAAATACTATAGTAGTATTATTATAGCATCAATTATTTAATGCCTTGCTTACATCGTATCAAGTCCAATAGAATGGGCAATCTGTTTATGACTTGATTTATAATTGTTAAATTACTACCGTATTATTGTTACAGCATTACTTTATTGATGGGCTACTTACAAGTATGTCGTAAGTGCAGTAGTATCCTAGTAGGACCCTACCTACTGGACGCTATTAACCTGACTTACGATCGTTGTAATATTACCTTAGTATTTGATTCCGAGTGCTCGTCTGCCTTTAAAATTCATTTATGGCCTACGTACATTATAAATGGTATAGAATTCCGTCACTTAAAGTTAAATTAGGGTCTATTATTTGTCATACATTAATTAGTATCGTATCTGACTAAGCTAGAAGTAGTATTCTCCTTTTATGCTAGACTACTACATTACTTTAATAACATTAATGAATGGAAGGCCTCCTTACATTATAAGTAGCATTCTACTTACTGTACGAATATAGGTCACTAAGACACAGCTAACTAAACTTACATTTTTGACAATTCATAGCCAATGGTTGTAAAAGTTATCTACTATCTCTACCTAATGTAGAGTATCCAATACTACTAATAGATATACGTTTCTCTTCAAACACAGCATATTATTAAATTTCATCGTCCAAAAGGTGGTAAAAAATCCGTACCCATTGATACCAAAATAGTAAAATCCTTACTGCGACAAATTTTAGATGGTATCCAGTATTTACATTCAAATTGGATTCTCCATCGTGATTTGGTAAATATAGCAATCTAGTCTAAATTTTTTATGTGATAATGGCCATAATGTCGTTAACGATAAATGGCACGTACAGGATTATTTATTTTTCTTTACTGATGAACCGTTTACGACAGAAACCTGCTAATATTTTGGTCATGGGTGACGGACTCGAGCGAGGACGTGTAAAGATCGGTATGGTCATATTATTGATTCTGGTTAACTGTATCATCTGTTAAGTGTATATTTGAAATTTTTTACTTCTTGTCGTTATTTTATCCTCATACCCTCCATTTGCTGACGCCTCTTAAATTCAAACCGGAAAAAAAAAATATGACATTGCATCGCCTGCATTAATTCCATGCTAGATTGCTAGAAATGTATGGTAGCTGATTTAAAGCTAGCTAATTTGACTTCAATGTACTCGTAAATACGTCGACTTTAGCTGGATGTACATTAATATTATCGTCGAAATTTTATAGTTCATTTTTCGTAGTTTCATCCTTATTCCTCGATTACTTTACGTTACTTAAGCCATACCATTCATTCTCATCACCGTCATTATTTGTATAGCATACCCATAAAATGAATTGCAGCAAATCTATAGTGGCTAGTAGCTAACTTAACATTGGCAAACTTGACTTCAATATAAATGCCAAGAGTTTAGCTGGATATGCGTCGATATGATGGACACCCATAAAGGATACAAATTGAGAACAAATAATTTGTGATTCAAGTGTGCAATAAATTGATATAATTCATCAAGCCGTTTATGATAGTAGCGTCTAGTAATACCGTTGTAATCTTTGAATTTTATTTTCTATTTACAGCGGATATGGGCTTTGCAAGACATTTTTGGGCCCCACTGAAGCCTCTAGCTGACTTAGATCCTGTCGTGGTTACATTTTGGTATCGAGCACCTGAATTATTGTTAGGGGCAAGGCATTACACCAAAGCTATCGGTAAGAAACTACAATGTACAGTATAATAAGCTTGTGCTACTGCATTATTCGGTAGTAACTTCTCAATGGTTATCGTTGCATCTTAAACATGGATGGAATATCCTCAATATCTGCAAATATGAGATGCAGTGATAACATTTGTTTTTCATAAACAATCAGAATTTTTACTGTGTGTTTCTTTTTAAAACAGATATTTGGGCTATTGGTTGCATCTTTGCGGAACTACTTACTTCCGAGCCTATTTTTCATTGTCGTCAGGAAGATCTTAAGGCAACAACCCCTTACCATCATGACCAACTCGATAGAATATTCACCGTAATGGGTTTTCCTCATGGTATCTGGAATTTCATTTGTTTAAATTCAACTTCAGGCGATTTCTCTATTATGCTCCAGCAACCCTTTCTATATGAAATAACTTTTCTCTACCTTTTAATATTGAAAAATAGAAAGGGACTGGGAAGATATAAAAATTATGCCAGAATACAAAAGACTTCAGGAAGACTTCAAGAAACCATCGTACGTGTTACCATTAATGATGAAAACTATCGCCAAGTCGATTCTAATCGACTTCAGCATGAATTAACATGAATTGCGTATTTCAGAAATTTTGCAAGTTGCAGCTTGGCAAAGTATATGGATAAATTTAAAATCAGACATGACAGCAGGGAATTTAGTCTGGTAATATTATATTTATAGGTAGTTAATGACTTCTGAATTTTAAGAATTAAACAAATCAATATGCTTGCCTTGAAGCTACAAAAATTTCTTATTGCGGACCCTAATAAAAGAATTTCGGCTGAATTAGCCATGGATGATGCTTATTTTCGTGAAGAACCTTATCCAACTGATGAGTTCGTATGCCCTTTATCGTTACTTGACATTATAATTTCGAAAGTATAACTTATTTCAATATATTCCAAACAGCGTATTTGACGGGAAGCCTATACCTTATCCGAAGAGAGAATTTTTGCATGATGATGAACATGAAGAGAAACACGATAAAAATAAGGTTCGACACTGCGTCTTCATTTTTTCACCTGAAATAATTCAGATTTAATATGCGTTTCAAGGTGCATAATTGAAATAATTTTAATATATAACTGCCTACGCAATATAAATGGCTGAGCATGATGCAAATTATTTTCTTCCATCAGGGTAAAAAGATGCATGCTGCCCATCAACATAACATTGGAGTAAATAATATCATGGCGAATCGACAACACCAGCAAAGTAGAATAGCCAACAATTATAACGCAAACGCACGTTATCCAGTGATTCAGTAAAATCTTTGAACTATGAGTATATTGATATATCATTATCAATGTTGCTGATTCAAAAATTATCAGACTATATCGCAATCCCAATATGATATTCTAACTTGATGTTACTTGGATAATTTTTTTCAACGGAGCACCACTGGTGCGAACGTTCAGTATATGATATTACAACTAGTATCATAATTCCAACTGTTTTATATTCGCACACTAAGGTTCATCTTTTATAATTTCTTTTTGTATAATATTAAGCGAGAAATTGTTGTTTCATAGGCTATTTTTATTATTTTTGTTAAGGATATGGTTAGGTATTGCAATATCTCAATTTCAGTGCGTATAGGAACCGGTTATCCAATCTATAGGATAAAATTTACTAGCTATGTATTTCTGATGTGTTACTAGATATATCGTATCAAATTATTTTATTCCAATATCAGAACTAAGAAATAAAATTAAGAAATATCACTCATTTTATTATTCCTGTTTAGCTAAATATTCTTTCCAAGTAACTAATTATCACCCATGCATTGCTAGAAAAACCGCAACCAAGATATGACCCATTATGCAGATAATATCGAGTTACTGCATAGTAAGTTGAGTACACGCTAATAACTATTTGAAACTGTACTTCCGTATTAAGAAGATAATTACTGCATGAAAAAGTAACAAGTGTAAACAATTCGTTAACGACGAAATAATGTCATTGAAAAAAAAACGAGTGATCTAATTCAGAATGCAGCTTGCATATCAAAATAATCCTTTTAAGTAGAATATGATATGCACAAATACTAATTTTAACATAATACAATATGTTATATATGTTATAATTACCAGACGTACATCAACCATTAAATACCTCGGGTCATAACTTCAATGCAGTGAAGTGTCTCAAAATCAGCACCACGAGAACTACGATTTCTTGTTATCTTCACTTCAATCACATGCATTATTTTGTATTAAGGAATATCTGCACCTGTATCTCTGCAGCAACGAAAGAAGCTACCGTTTGCATAATAGAGTGTATAAGAACTAGCTCATAGGTTAAAGGAAATAAAGTAATAATATTATGAAGCTGTTCGTTAGTAGTATTTGACTGAAAAATCGCGATCACGGTAACAGTTCCATGTCATGCTAGAAAGTTATTTATATGCACAGTAGTGTGATAATCTAGCTGTGAATTTTGTTTTACTGGAATATTTTGTGTAAAGCACATTCCTATTAATTTGAGCAGGTATTCAACTAGCGTAAATTTGTAAAAGCATGAGTGAATGCAGTGCGGAAATTATAACGAGTTTGAGTATTTCATAATTATACCTCATGAACAAGCTTTCTATCCATAAGCCACAAGCACGATCTACTTATTTTGGGGTACAAGTAATCATCTATTAACCTTTGAACATAATATTTCAATAGATTGTTATAATACATACTGCTATCGTCTTTTGCAAATTGCATTTAATTAGATACTTATTATAATTTCGCAATCCGAATACAAGTTAAACTATTCTCGTGCATTCTTACTATTTTAATCTTAGCTATATATGGACCATATCACACCTACAAATATGATCCTATTTAGAATTGTACTACAGTAATCATCGATTTATTAATTGATACCAATAATCAGATAAGGTAGAAAGGCAAACCTAGGCTCTGTTACAAATCTATTTTTGTAAGGAGTGAAAATAAATATTAATACTACTACAGCGAATCAACACCACAAATCTGCTGTCATTTTTGTCTTCCGATATTTACTTACTTATAGTAGCACTCTAAACGCAGACAATCTGCTATCATCAGGAGGAAGAGATGCACTAGTAGTCTTTCTTAGACAAAACTGAACGTAAACTTTACAGAAAGTCTGATTAGTTAGTTTATACTAAAGCCGCATAAATATTAGTTATCAGTACGTAGATAATATTATTATTATATTCACTTATCGACTGAAAAACATAAAAAATATCTTAGGTAAATTAATATTGGTACATTTCTAGATAAGTAATATTAAGGAAAGAATGCTGCGGCAGCTATGTAAAAGTTGCTTTGAAACAGGTTCTAGCAATTATGCTGATGCTATTAGGTTTTTCAGCATCTATTCTTTAACGTTATTCTAAGCTTCAGCTAACGCCAAAATTTTATCTATCCGCGCTGCATTGATTGGAATTGCCTAAATAATTCTTCCCTCTCCAACTTTGCACGCTGTTATGGCTGCGTCAGTACCTTCATTTTTATCTAATACACAAGACAAATATCAACAAAATTAACTGAATTAATAATATAATCAATGGGTAATTAAAAGCTAAGTAATAGTATTCGTATTTAAATATTGTTACGTTGTGCATGATGAAGATTACCGTATAGAGTTTGCACTTTGACAGATAGAAATAGTCATTCCTGTGCTTATTCTAGGCAGTCTTTAATTAATTCTAATTCTCAACTAACCTTCTTTGCTTTAGAGTCTACACGAGAAAGTAGTAAAGTATCCCAGGCTTTGGAATATTCTCCGGTAAGAGGGCTACCGCCATCCAAAGGAACTTTTTCGCCTTCATTCCAAAATTTTTGACGTAGCCTGTCCGGCATTAATTCATCAACATCGAGTGCAAGATCAACCTAAAAAGCATTACAAATTATTCAAACAGTCTCTTCATCTATTATTACAAAGTTCATAACGTTATTGCTTGCACCTGCATCTTTAAATGCTTAAATGTAGCTTGATTTCGAATTTTTTTTATATCATCAACTGCCAAACCGGTCTATTTTATGAAATAAACCAGAAAATACTCTTATTTACACAGATCAATTAATTTCGAGCTCAATTATGTGCAAAATCAACATGTGCTTAATGAAGTATGGGTATTTGGCTTCAATAGAAAATATAGCCGATAAATTCCTTACCAACAGATTGACCAGCAAGATACGTATGAAAATGATAAAAATGGCATAAAGAATACTCGTTGCTGCTTTATGGAGAATTGGAACGTTATCATTAAAAAATATATTTCTGAAGTCTACTGAATCAATAGTCATGATAGCTGTCGAACTCCAGGCTGCTTCAGCAGAGCTGAACTGTTTCTAAGGAAAATATTCAATGTTACATATTTTTGTATTACCAAATCTATGTTTAAAGGGATATTATTATGCCTCTATTCTGTCGTTAGATATTTCAAAATTATTCACGAACAAACTACTCACATGATTTTGTAATAATAAGAAAAATGAAATTCCAAACCCAGTCATAATCAGCAAAAAAATGATAATTGATTCAGCGAAGGTTATGCATAGATCTATAAACATGAGAACATAAATTCCAAATCTGGGAAATATTCTAGCGAATAATGCTAGATTAAACCATGACAAAAAAACGGAGACTGCTCCAATTTGTGATAGCGAATTACTGTTGAAGTAATTAACAGGCAGAGTAAATATAAGAGTCATAATATAACAAATAATTTCCAACAGATTTTCCACAGTGACGTAGTCGCGTCTTTGATACAAGAATTGAAAGAGCTGTAATAAAACAGGTAAAAGCAACGGTAAATGGATATTGCGGTTCTTATGTACGCTTGTAATGATTATTATAACATGGTTACATGGAATGTGACCATTTATACTTTCCAGAAAAATTATCTAAGAAGTATTTTTACCTCAAATGCTAGGCGAACAGCGGCAAGTATCGAAACGATTACCGAACTAGCACAAATGAAATAAATTTTAGAATAATCTATTTGATTTGTTGTATTGCTCGAAAGAAGATTAGCTGCATTATTTTCATTCGTCGAATTAACTTGCATTGTCAGAAAGCATAAATGACGGGTACCACGCGGATTCTCAATAGCGAATGCGGTTAAAAAAATCAAATAAAATACATATAGGATTAAATTGGTGTAGTAGATATATCGTCCAGATTGCTTCCATTTAAAGCTTAAGAAGTTCTTAACCAAAGGATGAGCTAGTAAGGATTCCCGTTTACTCTTAACCTATTCATGTACCATATCAAATTAAGTAATGTTAATTCTGCGCACTAATACAGATATATAGCACTCACTGATGTAGTAAAATTATAATATTATACATTTATCATTTCTATTTTACTAGTGCATTCCGTATTTTTTATCGTATTGCAAGAGTATAGCTTGCTAAAGTTTGAAATTCTAATTTTTCTGCTCTTAATTAGAATTTTAGTTGGCCTTACTCATAATAATCGAGATCGGATTTAACCCGATCAAATACTCGTATAGTTGATGCAAGTAATCTTTATGTTTTAACTATGCTCAAAAAAAATGATGCAAAATTAAGCATGAGCGCTGTAATTCAGCTTAAAGTAAACGAAATACTATTCTATACCATAATCATTTAAGGATAATTTGCTGTAGACCATCTCTGTCTGCTATTTGGTCGTTTCATACAGTGAATGAAAATATCATTAGCGTTATTGTAACACGGATCCTCAGTACTTTCGGCCTGAAAAGACTTAAACCAATTGGTAAGGGTGTCGTCTAAGAATTCATATCGAAAGCTAATTGCGTAGTTTGAATCTCCAGTAGACTCCTTAGTTATGCATTTATTGAATGCTATTTCAGCCACATCTAATGCATGATAATTGACGGCAATTTAGAATGCAAAATTACTTTACATTTAACATAAATATTTTATCTTGCATATAACTGACGAAAATTGCAAAAATTTGGCAAAGTTTTAAATTATGTATTGCAAACTATGCTCTACTTTAAAGAAAATTTCGACCGCAAATCACGTAATATTTGACCGAAATATTCTATCTAGC